TGCAATGTATGCATATATAATTATCTCTACGCAATTTGAATATATTTGACTTTGAATTTCAATATGCAAATGAAATTTACTAACTTAAATGGATAAAGTTAAATAGTCCATGCTAGTGCAAGTGAGATTTTTTTTAAAACATGTACTTGGCTGCAAAACAATATAACATGAACAATGAAATCCATGTATAAAGTCTACTTAAGGGAGTAATTAAAAAATAGTATTCATGCAAATGATCACAATTTATAGATTGATATGCAAATTCTTGATAATTTTAGACTTCTTTTTTTAAATAAAAAATAGTATAATTTGTGTTGAAATTCAAGATGTGATGGGTGTAATCATTTTTTGAATTTTTATTCACTAACTATGATATAATGCATGATAAATGACACAATTTTGAGTTATTTTTAATAAAACATAGTTGGTGACTACTGAATAAGAAACCTAATCCAAAAATAAGTGTAAATATAACTATTAATTATTTTGTTTGAAAAAATACATAAAAATGAAGTAATAGTTCTTGTGATCTGATTTTTCATTTTTCATTTTTTGGATGAAGATGAATGACAAAAATTAAAACTACGGTTTTTGGATCAACCGTTGTTTAAACAGAATTCGTAGCAAAATAATGTATCTATTTTAAAATATAAGCAATATTTTCAAATGAAATTTTTTAAGTAAAATCTGATAGTGATTTTTACATCAATATCATATGACTTTTACATACTATAGTATGTCTATCTAAACGTGTCTTCAACATGACGGATTCAAATATATTTAAGTGAATTTTGGTGGTAAAATTTTACATAAATTTGACAAATCAGAAATTTAACTTAAGTCTAAACAAATAAATTTGAAGTGTGCGTCATTGTTTGAAAATCACAAATCCAATGTATAAATAATTTGATTGAAAGATAAAATTAAAAAAACAATCCTGGTGTTGAAATAATCAAAATCTATTGTCTAAGATGGTATCAATCATCTTCCACTATTCTAGCCATGATAAGTAAGTACATTTTTATATTAATAAAAATAGATTGAAATTTGTGAAGTACATTATTAAGTATGGAGAGCATGGTAGAATATACTATCTATTATGATGATTGGTTAGACAACACAACTTGATGTTTATAATATGCAAGTTTGAAATAAAATAAATACTAAAACCTATTTTATTCACTTGAAAACGGATGCTTCAATTCAAACTATTTTTTATAAAATATGCGTAGATTATATATTGTTAGATATTATGATATAGCAATGGAAACAAAACAGGATTTTTTTAATAGATAAAGATTTGGATTGATAAAACATTCATCTGAACATCTATTTTATTTTATTAAGAAATTTGCGAATTTAATCTTAGTACATCTTAGTATTAGTTTAAGCACATACGTACATGCGTGGAATGATTAAAATGAGAGAAGATAATCAAACCTGGAAAAAAACCTGATGACTTATCTGCATGGAAGGAGAAAGCGGCATTGATAATTGATAAAAGTATTGATGTAAATGAAATTTACCAAGTAATAAATGTATATTGTAATATAAATTGAAGTATAGTTTTGATTTTTTAAAAATTCCACTTGTTTGTCTTTAAATTTCACGTGTAATCATAACCTACAAATAAATTATAAAAAATTGATTTGAATGAACAATTTATTCTTGACCTTTATTTATTTATAATAGATCTACCAATAAGTTGTGCTGGAAAATGTACATTGTTGGTTTGATAATGGAATTATTGAATACTGTTTATCATATTTAGTTGCTCCTGTGAAGATATATTGATTTAATATTTGTTACATACATTGACACTTAATGTTGATACACTGCATGATTCTTTTAATTTATATATGTTATTTGATATACGTACATCAAATAACATATATAATACATATCACTTGAAGCATTTTTGTTTGAATATCATTCAAATATATATAATATTTTTGTATTTTTCTTCTGAGAAATTCTATATAAATGCCATATTAAACTAAAAATGATGTAGAAAATTGATAAGAAGTTTTGATATTTATTATTCTGATTATGGATGTCAATTTACGATTATGATTTTACATATTTTAAAGTAATCTATTGAGTATTGTGATTTGTAATTATCATTACATTTATAAATCTATATCTTTATATCACTTGATTTTGAATATATCAAATACTTTACTTGATATATTTGCATTGAGAAAAAAAAGTTAGGAGATTTGAAAAGAATATTAACATGTTAGTTTGTCATTTATCTTGTAAAAGTTCCAAATTGATCATATAGGAAGTACACTGTGAATGTATTTGCCTCTAAATAAAAAATAAATTTGTAGCACATTGAATATTATGCAAAGGGGATGCTAAATAAGCTTGTCGACAGTGGAAGATAAATTAGAAGAACCTTATGTGAATTTTATCCACTATCATGTCATTTGGAACCAGAGATGGTTTGGATAATTGCCAACTTTTGTAAGATAGTTAGCATACTTTAAATATGTGTAACATGTGACTCCATGAAAGATTTCTTGCTATCAAGTTAGACAAATTGCTAGAAGTAGAGAGTATAATGAAGAACTATGAAGCATTTGCAATACCCACATTAAGTGAAATTCTCACATATTTACAGTACATTAATTGAAGTCCTATTTTGTTTGATTATATTTGGATTTGGAGAAATATTTTATGCATTGTAGTAAGCATGCATGAAACTCAATGTGTAACATTTCAACTCTAATAAAAGTGCATGTTGTAAAAAATTATCTGAGTTTCCTCAAGATGTCCGTTTAATGAATACATATATGAATAATTTCCACTTAAGCTAGTGAGGTAACCATTTTCCTTGAGTTTCTCTTGAAAAAATATAGTGGAAATCGCTCTTCACTTAGCACATAATCTTGACCAAAGTCCAACATTTCATGTGTGCACCCAAAGGAAAGATTAAATAAATACTCGCAGAATTCTTAGCATGAGCAAATTTTTAAGCTCTACAAGTATTTGAAATAATCTTATTCTTGTGAAATGGTTACAATATTTAAGTGATGAGACGACTTGAAAATCCATGATGGCTTGAAAATCATGTTTTGAAAGTTTTTGAGTAATCTCTCTTGAAAAATAAAGATTTCATATCAAATAAAAAATGTATTACATCATATTTAAAGCATTGGATGGGATGAGAGAGATATAGTTTTTCAATAATGAGAATTTTGATGTCTAGTTATACCTCACTCTACTATATGCTAGTCACTCATTGGTGGCGCCGGGTTATAGCTTATGTGGGATGAGTAACAAACTTTGCGGATTTTACTTCTTTCAATTCTTCGTCAAAGATGCTTCCGTGGCAAGAGCCATGTCAAACCCATGCTTGCCACCTTCGCGTTCAAGGTCGGATGTGAATGCTGTCTTCTAGGATTGATGGAGTTTGTTGCTCTCGAACTCTCTCTATAGAAAGCTTGTGCAGTACATGGTAGGAAAGGAGCTCAACACTAAATCACACCTGAAAGTTGAGTTATGAGTAAAATCTCAAGAGAAACGGATAGAATACTTATACGAAGATGATTAGACTGATCTCTTGGACCTCGACATGCTCTTGATTGAAACAGCTGTTTTTCATGGGGCTCAGAGTGTTTTGGTGCTTCTAGGAGAGCTAGCTCTGAAATTACAATTGTGGAAGGAGGCAAACCCGTGGCTGGTTTTGTTTTGACACTTTGGCAAATGCTAGTTCCGATGATCACAATGTTTGTAGTGAGCATGGACACTCGGTGACATCGACCTCTGTGTTCAAGGAAGCTCATAGTCGCAGGGCACTCCTGAATCCGTCACTGGACGTGAGTGCAAGGGATGATGATTCTTCGGAAACAAGACGAAGAAGCACGCTGGTTGTGCACATATCTTCGATTGGGGTGGATTGATGGAAAAGTGGCCTCTCTACCCCGTCCCATCGGCCAAGGCAAGTCAAGCTTGAGTTGTGTTGTGATCACAGTGCTTCGTCTGCTACAAGTTGTGTCGATGATGATTTTCTCCTCTGATATGAGAATGTGATTTTAGGAGGTTCTGTGGAATAGTGAAAGAATTTAGTTTTCAATATGAGCAGGTGAATGATGCTGGATTGAGTTGGATATGTGTGAAAGCAGTGGCCTCTCACCCAAGTTGGAATTGAATCGTACTTCCAAGGTTTTCACCTCGACAAATTGGCCTATTAAGTGTGCTTTGAAACACTGAAGTTTTGTTTTGAGAACGGCTTCAACACTACATATACATTCAACTTCTCATTAGGCTCAACCTCGAAAGCGGAGGTGACAGACATGGGTTTGACGTGGCTCTTGCCACGAAAGCATCTTTGAAAGAATTAAAACCCTTGAAGTTGTTACTCATCTCACCAAAACTATAACCCTAATTCATTCATGAATGACTAGCATGTAGTTGAGTGAAGGTTAATTAACCCCAAGTGAGTGATAATTAGTTGCAATTATTTTTATATATGTTCAATGATACAATATTTAATTTGAATAAAAGAATCACAATACATATATAATTTACGTAATTAGCCTCACTACCATCATTTGTATACTATTGTTATGATTTTCATTGTAAATTTGTTTCATATAATCTTTAGAGTATATACACAATATAGTCGCAAAGTAGCCAAGAGAAGAGAAGCTTCCTTTCAATTACCCATTTTTCCATAGATTTTCTTTCCTGAAAGTTCGAACATCAAGAGTCATTACACCTGCTTTGCTGCTCTTGCCTGTCATAGAAAATTAGTGTTAAAGATAAAGTATACGTGACTAATTGCAGATAGTACGGTGTACGATGATGTAGAGGAGGGTCATGGTAAGTCCTTCCTGTTGAGGAACTACGTACTCGAAGTTTGCAGCACGGGGAGCGCAATCAGCGAAGGAGCAGTTGTCATCAATTAGTAATCGTCTAGACGTACGAACAGACATGAATGCATGAAAATATAATCCAATTGTGTCAGTAGTTGTCTGTCAGTTTCGGCTATTGCGATAAATGGAGTGGAATAGTACATAATAGTAGCTCCGTTGAATGCGAGGAGTGTAACGAAGCAGCCAAGACAGGAGAAGTGCAGCAGAGCTTTGACCCTTGACTACACGAAGACGACGTTCTCTTCGCAACGACGAGCTTGAATTTCAGCACCTGTGAATTTGCTGCATCGCCTACGAGTCCTTTCCTCGGAAGACGGATATTGCATGATGAGGAGGCCTCATTTCATTGTCGTCGCGGCTCTGCTGCTGCTGGCTGCGTTCTGCAGACCGTCGCTGACTGCGGAGGTCAAACCGGACTGCTCGGAGCAGGTGGTGCAGCTTGCCCCGTGCCTGTCTTATGTGAGCGGGGACGATCCAAAGCCTCCCGAAGATTGTTGCGATGCACTGACGACCGTGGTTGTGGAAACCCCGACCTGCATTTGCGAGATTATCGAGGGCGGGGAAAATGCCACTGCGAGCACCGGACTCCTAGCCATCAACCTCACCCTGGTGAAGCAGCTGCCCAAGGAGTGCGGAGTCCAAGAGCAGATCAAAATCGACGAATCTCACTGCCCGGGTACATTCTGTAACTCAAAAGCTGTGTCGAAGAAGCGTGCCAGCTTTCCTCCTTCACGTTTCCTCATCAGAGAATGAGACTCCACGTCCGCCGAAATACGTCCGCAGCTTGTAGTTTAGTCTGCTTAAGGCTCTTCTCTGAGTGATGCATGCGAATCATCGGGTCACCGGTGAGCAATTGACAAATGTTCTCTGAATTTCCGCTCAGCTGCACAGCAGTCGCCTGACTGCGGAGTAACCCGACCACCCACCATACCTCGGTGACCTTGCCTCGCTCCCTCATTTCATGAAGCATTTCCAGACTAGCCCGTTCCTTTCTCAGCACGGGCTCTTTGTTCCAATCGAGCGAAGCTGGATTTTCATGTTCTCTGTACGTGCTTGATTTACAGTTTCCTGTGCGGAGTTACTTACACTGGTCCTGAGCGCATCCTCCTCCTCTACCTCATTGCTGTGGAGGCGGGCAATGAAAGGCATGGTTGTGGGTAAGCAGGGCTGGGAATTGCCGGCTCCTGTCGTAGTTCAGGATAAGGTGAGAATGCCGGCCGCTGACTGCACTCACGACGACAGAGAGGAGGTGAGGTGGAGGCAACTCTCATCAACCGGGCCCGGAGCCGGTCCTCGCGGTCACTGCTCTGCTGCACAGTCCGCCACCGCTGTGCATGCATGCACGCTCGGGCCAAATCTGCGATCTCGTCGTTGCGTGAGTGTGAGATTACCGTGCGGGTCGCACTGTAATCTTAGAATTTGTTTCCGACGTATGCCATGATCGGTGTAGCCTTGATCCGCACATGTCCACAATGTGGCCAAAATCTGCGGAGGTTGTGCTCGTGGATGGCTTGTTAGCATGGTCTTTGTAAAACGTATACTTTCGGCGACCGTGACCTTCATGTTGGAAGATGTCGGAGACCTCGCTGTCCTCCAGCACCGAGCCTGATGATGGGGTCTCACTCCACATCCCACCGCCTGCGTTAACTTCGATTCAGCCATGTATAACGCTATTTCCACCATTGCTGCACGCGTGAGCCACGGACGATTTGTGTTTTTTGCTTTCGACGTGCACGGTGCTGTGATACGAACGAGCCTGGGTGCCTGGTCTCTGAGCCTACCATGTTTGCAAGAATGCTGTGGCTGACTTGAATGCGCTTGAATTATTCTAGAGCTCTCGATTTGTGTCCAATTAGTTTGCCGTCGGTTTCCGAAGTGCGTATGATCATTGGAACGTTTCAAGCAGCTAACGTACTTTCCGTTGCTTTGTGTAGGATTCGGAAATCAAACTCTCGGTAAGTCTGGGGCAGCACTGCTTCTTTAGCTGCGTGCTTAGTGTGTCCCAAACGAATTGAATCCAGGGTTGGCTTTTGTGTCCCTGTTCTTCCTCCTCCACCATCACGGGCTGGCTGGCCTTCGCAGAGGATCGATCGTATGAATTATTGCATCTACGTGATTGATTAATGCACTAAAAACGAAAGCTTTCTTAGCGATCAGAATGAAAGAATTAATCGGCCAGAGAGCGCTCCAAACCTCGACTGTTTCAGAGACCATAACTGTTCTATGCTATCGAGGGCAGGGAAATCGCTTGAGGTAGACATGTGTGTGTAGCGCTTTCATTCCTCTTGGCGATCTAGTATGCTCACATGTGGTTGCATGCAACTGGGTGCAGCGCCTCCAAGCGGACCAGGAGTGACATCAGCTCCAGCACAAGAGTCAGCGGCAGTGCTGCGAGGACAATCAATCCCTTCGAGCTTCGTGTGGTCGCTCATAATCTCCGTAGGTCTGTGGGTCCGTAGACCGTGAGAAGCTCAATCCGCTTAGACTGCGACGTTGAACTTCTATCTTAGGTTCTCGGCTTTCAAGCCGGACGCTTTTTTCATTCCCATCTTCGGACTTGAGCTTTCTAGCTCGCCGACGATACGCAGGCCTTGTAATCGAATAGAAATATATCGCCAGGAACTTCTTTACCGTAATTGTTTGGTTTGCCAATGAGCCGGAAACTTGTTTTTGGTTGGTTGAAGAATGATGGAAAGAATTTTGTAATCGATATTCGCATGCAAGTTGCCGAATCAGGTCGACCATCACACATGTATGAGTTTCTTGCACTTGTTCAGAGTCCTAGACACAGTTTTCCGGAAAGGTGATATGGTATGAAGAGTAATTGGAGTACTAGATAGATTGCGCTTTCGGAGGATGATCCACCTCCAGAAATTATTCAGCATGCAAGGAAAAATAGCTGTAATCATTCCAGACGCTTGAGATCTGATGGTTGTCACTGAAGCTCCCATGCCCTGGCAACATCAGGTCGGGGCGAAGATAGTGCGCCTTCGAAGTCGCTGTCACCATTGCAATCCGGCATCTGTTGCACGTCTTCGTGATACCAGTCATACTTGTAGGTGTAAAGGCGAGAGCAGACTAAGAAGACGACGAGGTCGCAAGCCAAAATCACCGCGAGGAGCCAGTAGAACTTCTCGAGGCCTCCGTCGTTCAGATTGCCGGTCAGCCAGCTGCCTCCCTGAATTCATGCATATCAAGCTGGGTCAATGAACACTCTCTCAGACGAATGCAGAACATGAAATCGCAGATGGACATGAAATCGAGGATGGCCCGACCTTCTGGTGACGGGTGGCTCGGTTCGTAACGTCCACCAGGACGGTACTCAAGTAGTAGCCCATGGCAGACGCGGAGTAGGTGAAGGAGCTCGCAATGCTGCGGGTGCCGTCAGACGCTTCGTGGTAGAAAAACTGGTACTGGGATATGAAGAGAGTCAGTTCCATCATGGCCGAAACAACATACTGCGGAACGAGCCACCACATTTTCATCGGCAGCACGAAAGTTCCCAGCGGGGTCTGCTGCAGATGCAGCCGTCGGACGTCCTGAATGCGCCTGCCCTCGACGAGCGCCGCGATGGCCATAGCCACTATGGCGAAGGTGATGGATGCGCCCAGTCGCTGGAGCGTGCTGAACCCGTACGGGTGGTGTGTGTACCTCCGCACGAACGGAACGAAGATGGCATCGTAAATCGGAGCTGTGATCAGAGTGACGAGCACCACGATGGAGTTGAGCGATGGCGACGGCACTGTGAAATGCGAGCCCAGCCGCCGGTCCAGCGTGCTGCCCTGCGACACAGTGAACGTCGACAGCTGCGAGAAGACGATGGAAACCACGGCCGTGGTGGCCCAGATGGGCAGCATCTGCAGAATGCGCTTCGACTCCTCCACTTGTGTCACGCAGCACAGTCGCCATCTCGTCGGCGTCTCGCACGCTTGCAGTTCTTCTCGATCCGTCGCGGATATGATTGCTGCTCTGTCCAGGAACCTGAACTCCCGCCCGTCGTTCGGCCCACCGCCCACGGTCACAGCACAGAACAACAACTGAGCATAACGCACCTTGCCTCATACCCTCAAATGGATGCCCCAATTTTCGAGTCCCACGATGCTACTACTGTATAGTCTAATCGGTGCGATCTCAAGTAACCATGTGAAATTCGAAGCATTCGAAGCATTCGAAGTTCCTGTGGAGAGGCTAAATAATTATTCGTTGATCAGTGCAAGTCGCCTGCTTTATAAGCAGATGACTAACATCTTAATACTATCAAAAGAATATTTTTACACCATGGAAGTGTAAAGCTAATTAGTGTAAAAGATTACAATTTTTCGAGTGATTCCAGTAGATGAACCTCCGTTTATCATGTGGATCAAATCAAAAGGGAGGACATGGGTGTTCATTCATTGAGCTATTGTCTGTAGCGAAGTATGTAATCGAAATCAAAGAACGCACTCGATCACCTTCAGTCACCATCAATAATCACCTTCGAAAGAGTACATGCGGCACTCGATCAGACTCATGCCACCGATCATGAAGAGATGAGGCTCCAGCGACGTATGGATTCGACTTGGCACTTGCCTGAAACTCGAGGTGTGGTGGAGGTAGTCGCTCCCCGGGAGTGCCGCGTTGTACAGCTCCGAGGTGTCGTCTGGGATGGTCAGTCGGAGCTTGCGCAAGGAAGCGACCACGACCTGCGCGATTCGGGTGAGAAAGCTGCCAGACGGCGGCTTGTGACGGAAGCGGGACGAGCCGAGGAAGAAGGTGAGCACGGCAACGAGGTAGAGTGCTAAGGAGAAGCCGTAGCCCCAGCCTCGACCGACGTTGTCCTGAATGTACACACCGAGAGTGAAGGCCACAAGCAAGCCGAGGTTGGTGAAAAAGTAAAACCAAACGAAGAATCGAACGCCTTGCTCCTTCTCGATGTCTGAAGAACCATCAAACTGGTCCGCCCCGATCGCTGCCGTGTTCGGTCTCACCGCTCCTGTTCCCAAAGCGATCGTGTACAGCGCCACATAGAGCGGTGCCATGTCGCGAACTCCCGCACCGCTGCAGTGCGTTGTTGCGGTGGGCGTACACTCGGCCGGCCGCAGTCCCTGGTACGCAGCAGTGAATGTCAATAAGCCTAAGCCCTGCGATGGCAAGCACCCAGTGGCACCTCGTCAGTGTCCGACGCCAAGCCAATAAGTCCACGGGCGGGCGGTGAGTCATATTACCAGGGCGGTGATGACCGAGCCTCCGGCGATGGTCCAGTATGTTCCTAAGTAGCTGTCCGCGAAGAATCCTCCCACCACTGTCAAGATGTAACATGTCCCCGTGAAGTTGTTGGTGATTTTCGTCGACTCGGATATGGAATGGTGCATAGTCCCTGCTAGATACGGTACCAAGTTGATGGTGAGGGAAATCGCTGCTTGGAATTCGGCTCCAGTAATTGCTGTTCCCAACCGCGAACACAATCAACCACGAGCCGTGTAAGTTCCTGAATGGGATGAGCCCTTACTGCTCGCAGAGTCGCAGCATACAGTGCATGTTTTGCGCCTGTTGCCACTGTCGACTCTCGACAAAACTCCCTCCAATCTCAGACTCCTGTGTAAGTGACATATAATTAGCATGCAAATGCCATTTCAGATGTGTCCATGAACCAGCCCCCTGGCCTGAAACCGGCAAGCTTAACCAACGAGCGAACGCAAGCTTTGCGTCCTCATGCCATCGGTCTTAAGCTAAACTGTCGTCATGCTAAATTGCGACTGTCAGACTTACGATAAAGAAAGCTGGCTGCTGCCCATGTTCCAGTCTCCCGTTGCTTCTTGCCACGAGGAGCAGATGGGGACGAAGAGTGCTGTTCCCCCGCTACTGCTTGCAAATCTCGTGGATGAGACGGGATGCGCTTACCAAACACCTGCATTCATTCAGAGAAAGAGAGCGACATTACAGGGAGGCATGACAATTCCTTCGTTTTCCTGGGGGCCTCGCCGAGTGCGTTTTGATATCAGGAATCAAGTCCTGAGAAGATCAATTGCCTGCTATCAGTCATAACACTATGACTGTCGCCTTAGGACTTACAGTGGCACGAAGAATGTTCGATTAAAGGGGACATTCTAGCACTCATCCAGATTGCTCTCTACACTGTGAATCCAGTCTGGTTTCTCCATCGTATGACAGCTTGCATTCAAGTAAGTGGTTAACATCTGAACTTCAGTTCCTGATACGTCTTCACTGAGCAAATTGTCTGCCCTCACGTGAACGAACTTAATTTGCTTGTGCGCGTTCGTTAGTGCTCTCCATTGCAATACAAGGCCCGATATCGAGAGAAGAATCACTCTTCCATTCAGAGGAGATACACGTCCACGTACCATGATGACCCAGCACGATCAGCTCCAGACACTCCCTCGGAATGCTCGCGTTGGTGACTTTGGAGGAATGTAATCTCGAATTTGGAGTTCCGTGGCCTGGTGACTAAGTCTCTAGTGCAGAATATCACCGGGTACGATCATCGGCACGGCGACCGATCGAAATTGGAGTCTGATCAGGGTCTAATGGAAGCTGGAGGGGCAAGAACGTCCAAGCATACTCCCGTGCCGAAGATGGTATCGTTGGCGTTCCAGGGGAATCTGGCGAGTGTACAGCTGCTTCACCCTTTGCGATCAGTTGTATCGAGTATATTGGCACTTGTTGTAGTCTGCACAAGGCAAGCATGCTCAGCCCACAGTTCTACCAATGCAGTAGAAACGTATCAAAAACTTCAATTCGTCATGGAAGCGACACGCTCGACGTCCTGCTAACTCCTGATTTTGAGCGTTCAGAGGCGATCAAGTCCGGATTGCACCGAGGGAACTGGCCAGTCGTGCATTTCGTGTGAAACCTGAGTTCACGCACTGCGCGTCAATCAACCGATCTGATCGGGTTCATTTTCGGCATGAGCGCAAGCAGGCTTCGTAGGCATCCAGCTCCATACAGGCGTTACATCATCACTACGAGGTGCCTTTATGCAAAATTCGCTTCGTTCATGCTTTTGACCCTGACTGTGTTCCTGCGGAAAATCGACACGGAAAGATATTCCATCTACGTTCTTTGGCTTAGACCATGGCAAATCCGTGTCCCCGCACATACGATATGTCTGTTCGAAGTTCGGACTCGAGGAGCAAGAACGACGACGAAATTGAAGACCTCGGCACCAACCTCTGAGCACTTGAACTCTCGGAGTCTCTCCACTCAGCGTGAGCTCTGTGGTCCATGTGACCACAGCCGGGTCATCTCCAGTTGGTGAACTGTGATTCAGCTGTTGCATTCATGCTCCGGGTACTTGGCTTCGATGTTGGGATTTGACATTTACTGGAGGTCAGGATATCGAGGTTTTTCGGGCTTGCTATCTGGCCAAGTCTTTTGGCGTGATGGATGGTAAACCAGATTTGATGTTCCTTATGTGACTGTGAGGTGAATGCTGCTTCCGCTGAGCATTGGCTCAGCGGGTCAGGAGCAAAATTCAATGTACTCAAAACGAGTTCAGCAAAGCATAGGATATTTCCTGCATTATTCGTTTCATCAGAACTATAATATGTACTTACCGTAAGTTTCTGTCTAATATGCTAGGCAGTGGTAACGCCATTTGTGCATCATCTTGCTGTCTGTTCCATCAAACTTTCTTAAGAAGTCTTATCACTCCAGAAATAGACATATTTCATTTATCAGTTGATTGTTAGGCCAAATTGCACATATTCTATCCGTCTTCTAAGTATCTGACAGTATCCTCGAGCAATCATACAATATCATACAATACACTATCATCAATTACAGATAAATCATGTCAATACCACATGATGCTGCTAAAGGCTGGAAGGTAGATTAGGAAAAGGTAACCAGCTATCTATCTAGCTAGTTTAAGCCTCAACTAATCCCGATTTGTTGCATTTGTATAAGTTTGTAAAATTGCCAAAAGTGATACTGACACATGACATTGTCAAAAGTGACTTCAAAAGTATATAACATGCGTTGCTTTGACGATAATGGAGCTCTGTCTAAGAATCAATGAGCTAGAAAGTACATGGAGAGATAGAAGCCTGTACAGGAAAGAATGAAAAGAAGTTATGCAGTTAAATGATCTGAAATTGTACTGTTGATACTTGCCTGACTAATTTTGCATGTTTCAATGCAGCAAATGGAGATGAGACTAATCTTTCAAAAGAGTCAAGCTAAATAACTGTTGCTATTAGATCACAGTAATTTAGTCTACTAGCATCACATAATTGTGTATGTGATTTGGATGTGTACATTGAAAATGTATAAAAAAATATTTTAAAAAAACATATATCAACATTTTGTCAGAAATATCACGGAAACATGTATCAGAAATAATGCATATAAAATGAACAGCTTTTTTTTAACTTCATAATTTATTATGCATTGAAGTGGTATAGTAAGTACAAGAATATGCAAGTTAAGAAAGATATTTATTGTTTTTTTTCTTTATAAAAAAAAACTATTTGATATGCATAGTGAAGAGTATGAGATTTAACTTGAGAATAGAAAACCAATAGTTATACTTTTAAATGAATTTGAACAAATATGAAGATATGATAATGACAATTATGACTACTAATATGTCGATGTTGAAAAAACTTTACTATAGCTCTAGTAACGTTAAAATAAAGAGCAAAGTGAGTTATGAACTTATTCATATAAAGCTAAAGCTAGTTGAATTGATGATTAAATAGGGAAAAGTTTACAAAATCAGTATAAATTTTAAATAATGAAAGCATGAGTTGATTTGACAACAAAAATATCCGCCAATGTAAAGATGTATTCTAACTATACCTACTATATAGAATAGTAGGAATGAAAATGTAGAGATTTGATCTAATCATTTGAAGACTACAATCCACTGTAACGTAACTACAAAATCTTATGCTTTGATTGTAGAAAATAGTAGAAAGTTAATTTTAGAAACTTTATAATCTTATGCTTTGATTGTAGAAATTAATAGAAAGTTAATTTTAGAATTACTGTTTATAACGTTTTAGAAAACATGATGCTTTTACACACAACAAACCTTTCATCTTCTTCAAGTTGGTGATACTACAAGTAGAATTCATTAAAGAGTTATCTCATTAGTGCTTATAAAAAAAAGGAAAAAAAATCCTCAATTCTGTAGTCTGTATATTCTTATTAGAATAAAGCAGTCATATTTATAAATGATATCATGTTAAGAGAAGATCAATCAAACTAGTACATTTTTTTGATAATATGAGTGAACTATATAGATGAAGTTATTTGTCTTCATTTTCTCTTAACACTTGAAAAAAACCAATACAATTGTTGAAAAATGGATGGGTCTAAATTTTCCTGACTAGATTTGAGTTGAGAGAAGTCTTCAACTCAAAAAGAATCCAAACAAAGTTGAAAAAAGAAGATGGAAGAAAGTAGCTACAGTGAATAAGGTTATTGAATTTTCACATATGTTTATGATATAAAGATAACCCAGTAACATGTTCAACATGTCATACATTTTATTTTGGTACCCATCTTCACACAAATTGCTTACCGTGACCCATCAAGTTTCATTTCACCAGATGGACCCCACACATACTCAATGTTCTAGTATTAACCTACGGTGAAGGCAATTTTGATTTATCTACGTCGCTCCGTCAGACAGAGTCCTGTCTCGATGAAAGAACCCGAGGAGTTGAGGAGGCGCTGAATCTCGCGGCCTCGCGCGAAAAGAGGCATCTCCAAAGGGCTTCCGCTGTGACGGGAGAGGGACTGGAAATGGTTATTCATCACTCTCACGAACAAATACTCACACTATAGTTTGCTTTGTATATGTATAGGAAAAGGCTTTAGAACTTGTTCGGTGTGTGCAGATGGTACTCCACTAACGAACACACCGTACACAAATTCTAAAACCTGTTCCTGTACACATATGAACGGGGGTAAAACAAAGTTTGCTGGATACAGTGAGTAATTTACTCCAATTTTTCACATGATGTTGCATTCTTGTTGATGGATGAAACATTTCTATGGATGTTTAAAAACATCTCAACATCATTTCACGTTATGATTCATATATGTGTTCCTGGATTGAAGATCTTCTATACACAGTTTCAAACACATCAGAAGATTGTTGAAGAGATTAAAGATGAAGCATTCAAGGCAGTATAGGATGATTGCTGTGATGAGAAGATATTTATATGAAATGTAACTTGCCATATATTAATAGGGTTTCTAGTATGCATGTGGATGCTATCAGTAAGTTGTTGGATAAAATAGCGTGAGTAACTTTGGGTATCAGGTTTGTAAGAGGTTATACTAGTGTTGATGAGAGGAACGAGCAAATGTACGCATGCCAGAGAAATGAGCGCTTTGTCGACAACTTTAATCACGACGAAGAAACTTGTTGCTGAGATTGAGAGGCAATTTGATTGTATATACTTCAGAAGATGCTAGCGTGAGTTGTCAGGACCCCGCTGCCAAAGTCAGTACGAACGGTGGTGGAGATGTTCAGATCGCATGACTTAGGCAGAGAGTTACTTGCGTGACAGTGGAATCCGGTCCCTTGTTTGGGGATGTTTGGGGATGTTCAGGCGAAGTGTGTGGTGAATCCGATTGCGCTGATGTAAGACTTTCCTCATGGACTGAAGCCTTTGGACGTTCGGGGGCTGAACAAGTCGAAAATGTATGACTCCTTCCGTTTGCTCATCTCTGTGTGCTTGCAGCTGCTTGTCAAGAGTGTTTCTTCAGCATGTGGATAACTAGTAGCATGCCAGAATCTGTGATACCGTGCTGCAGTCTGACGTGCTGCACGCAGAGTGGTCAATGTGCGCTCCGTACGACAAGTAATCAACAAACGGCAATTCTGAACAAAACAAGAATGCTCGTGCTGTGTAGAAAACGAGGAAAAGACCTGTACGCGAAGTCTTTGAGAGAAAGGTGTCGACCTTTTGACCGTGCCAGCTATTGGGTCATGATCGTAGATGTCACAAATCGAGCCTCGGAATCTTCCCCAAAATTTCATGGTCGCTCTTGCACTGATGCAGTCAAAGCGATTACAGTATATTTGTCCGGAGAAGAAGTTTATCACATGCCTATGACATGGCCATGGCAGAGCAGAGTCAGAGGAGTGACAGCATTTATTGCAGCTCTAGTTCATTCACGCCCAATGCTCTTGCGGTGTTTCGAACCTCATCTCAAATGCTGGATACACAATAAAAAAAACTGAGCTGGTCAATACAAGGTGACCATGCATACAGCTGAGACATACGGAATATAATGATCGAAGTGAACAACAAATCATTGACCGCGAAATACCGAACATTCTCTGACACGACTCTTCAGCCTGTAAACGTACGTTCCAAATATTCTATAGCTCAACACAGTTTCTCCGACCAAGCCGGATGGACATTTTGCTTCGACAATCTGTCATAATCTATTTACATCGCTGAAATCAACTTGCTGTGGTAATGACGTCATCAACTCTTCTGATTTAATCCTTTTTGGGAGCAGAGTACTTGGCCAAAGCCTCTGAAAAAATCTCCCTCTCCCGTTTCCTCAGCCTGCAGGAAAGAAACATGTACCAGAGAAACTTAAGATACGAAGTTATCATGAGCTCCTAATCATGCTAATCATCTGGCAAACACGTAAAAGCTACTGGATTACCAACTGGGAACAGTGAGTAAGGGAAATCGACAGTGGACAAGGAACCTGTTAATAAAGAGTAATCCTTCCGTGCGACACACTAGAATCGGAGAATGAATCAATAGACCATCTCCAGGTAGAATTCAGAGCTCACTAGACGATGGTCAGTCCAAACCAGCACTCAATGGGATGCACATAGTCAGATGATCATGGTTACGATAATCATAACGATACGATAATAATCATACGATAATAAACGATAATCTTTACTGTATATGTCTTCGACTTAGTGAACTACGTATTCATGAGCAGTAGGCATTCAGAATCTTCTTTGTAAAGTACATCTGTTCGCCAGTAAATTTTTCTTCCGCAAAGAATCATTGTTGAATTCAAAGTTATTACCTGCTTGACGCTCCCAGCTTCTGGCGGGGTGGAGGCCTGGATCTTTTGTTCTTTGAGGTTTCCTCAGTCGCAGTCTGAGGATCCTTTGGGGCATTCTTGGCGGCAGATTTTCCTGATGTAGACGTCGGTTTGCCATTAGAAACATTGCTGTCACGCAGACCAGTCCTCACCCTACCCAGAAGTCGCTTTTCTAAGGATTCGATCTTAAGTTCCCGTTCTCGTACATTGACTTCAGGCTCCTTATCCGTGAATTCCACAGAATTTCTCTTATTCAGTTGGGATTGCAATTCCTTTAATTTCGCCTCTAGTTCCTTAATTTTAATTTCTTTCTCGTCTCCTTCAGACTTTTTTGCTGAAAGAGTCGAATCTACTCTGCTTTCTCCAATACTTGTAGTCCTACCAAATCCTTTTCCACTACCTCGTGTTCTAGAATATCCTTCATCGTCGTCGTTCAGGACAACCTTTTGCTCGCCAGTCTCTGCACTGATAGGACGTGCCGAGAATGATTCAGACTCAAAACCTTTAACTGAACGTGGCCTCTTGAAGTCTTCCACCATACTCGCAGAAAGCGTCGAACTGCCAACTTCCTCTGAAGATGAGTAGACACTTTCATCCTCTTCTTCAATTTCCATATCTAGCTCCAAATCATCGTCATTCTCAAGTTCATCCCATATCTGCTGCTCCAGCACAAACAGATCCGCATGCTCTTCTTCTTCTTCAGGGATACCGACATCGGCAAGGTCCGCGTTCGAAGGAAGAGACTTCGAATTTGTTCGAGTTGACTTTCTGACATCAGAAGCAACCCCTACAGCAACTGAATCTTCACCGGACGAAGGGCTTGTTGCCGAAGCCACAGCGGATGAAGGTTCTCTAACACCAAGTCGAGGGCCGTTTGAAGGTTGACTGCGAGACACTTCTTTGAAAGGGCTGCTTGTCTTGGCCAGTTCACAAGAGATTCTCTTTTCTACCTTCCCAAAAACAATAGACTCGCCATTGTACCTCTCGATGAACCTGAGTTACAAATACGAACGAGTTTTGTCAACACGAGATATTCTCGAACAAAAAGTGAAGATGGAGAGAAACGATTACCGATACAGCTGTAATAAAGTCAGTCAAATTCAGGTATAAAGAAATGAACACAGAACAACCTGAGTAGCATATTCACAGTAACGGTGGCAATTTACTTACTCTTCTGCATCATCCAGAGTAGCAAATGTCAGGAATGCGAGGCCCTTGCAGACAGGCTCTCTTGTCTTCTCGTTTCCACCCACGAGAGGGCGAATATGTAATAAGCCCGAGGCTGATCTTAACGCTGCTCGCATATCCCTTTCGACATTCCTCTTCTTAGGAAGATTTCTAACAAACACTTCTACCCCATCAGGCTGTGTGTCACTACCTGCACGCGGGAGATTCTTGACGTCAAGGTGACTTTCGAGGGAACAGCTTCGACGTAAAACTCGACAAATAGACGAGGTGGTGACTGGACGTTCTCTTGCCACAAAGAAAAGATCTGACACAAGGCAGAAGGGAACCTGCTTTTTTCGCTGCTATAATTGGCGGTGTAGGCTTCTTGTTCTTGGCGGCAGCTTTGACTGCAGCTTGTGCTATCTGATCACGCTTGATTTCCTCTAGCAAACGCTCTTCTAGAGATGTGTCATACTCCTTGCCTCCTCCGAAACCAGAAGGTTTTTTCTTTATCCATTCTTCCATATCCAGAATTCCGCTGTCCTCATCGTCAGAATCCTCATCGCTTTCGTCGTCATCCTCAAATTCGAGAACTGGATTTCGTTTTGGTTTCGAAGCAGAACATGTTTGCTTCGAGCCGCAACGGTATGAGTTCAATGAGTGAACCGGAAGCTGCAACCACACGACCAAAGATAAAGATGAGGGAAAACGTGAGAAAGGTAAGCGCTTGTTCCTGGTACAATAGCGACCTTGGTCGAATTTGACTATATGCTGGAAACTCCGCAAGGACAATCAGCAGGGAACGACCCATGACGGTTCCCCCTCAGAGACTATACACTCAGGAGTCAATCTCTTGCTTTCCGAAACCTGTGTTTCTGTAGGGTACGCCACCTTTCACACTGTTAACTGTTTTCAGCACGTATGCACTACGAAGAATTTGAACTTTCGAAGATTATGGAACTCTGTCGAAGCGCGACGGAATTGTTTTTAGTGCTGACGGTTGCAGTCCATGTAATGATTATAACCATCTTAAATGCCGACGATTGTAGGTGCATATCGAATATAATGTTAAAACTTTGCAGGCTGCAATGTGCGGTTTTCGTGAGACGTCTAGTTACGATGACTTCATTGCCAAACAATGGATCACTTCTTCACAAATAAAAAAGTAAAAAAGATGAAGATAGCTGAGGAACTCTCTTTACTTGGAAACCTACGCAATTCCCTTCTCAGGTTCGACTACGACGGCTCGTCAGAGGTTCCACTCATAATCAACCGTACGAAACGTTGAAACCAAGGCCATCGCGGCATCATGAGCTTGAAGAGCAATACGCAGTGGCAAAGCCATAATTCGGAGTCCTCCGGTGACAAGAAGCCAAATTCACAGGCAAAATGTGAGAGTTACTAATTAGCCGAGAGTCAACCACACTCGATGATTCCAGCGGGCGAATTTCACATTCTTCGAAAGCAGCTCAGGTAGAGAGGGCGATAGATGAGTTTACCACAATGGCGGCACGGTTGGCAGCGGACACGCGCACACCATACGGTGAGGGTCGACATATTCCAGCTGCAGTCGGCAACGATGGAGGGCAAGACCACAGCCTCTGTTCCAGACAGGAAGCGGCCATAGCTCTCCCCTGTCTCGAGACGAACACAAGCTTGCTGGTACGCTGCAATCAGTCCTGGAACGTTTGAATATCTCCCTGTTCCCTCAGTTCACTCCTCCCCGTTCGACGCACAGAACCTTCGGCTAGACGACAAAACTATCACATCGGTAGATCACTCGCATCCCTCATCTTGCGTTCGCAAAGAGCTGACGATAATCTCTCTACAAGATTATGACCATCTCGCCTCTATCCTGGCAAGAAATCATCTTCGACAAAAGAGAACAAAGAAAACCCTCGAAAAGTGTGCGGAAGGAAGGTAAATGTGCGAACAATGTCAAACATGTTTAGACAAACATGCGTGGCGGTCTTCAGATGATAGGAATCTTCAGGTAACTGAGGGGAATGCATTAATGCACTAATGGATACATTTTTGTACGCGGCTGAATTATCCAGAGCTATGAACGTTGTTGCTTCCATTGAATATCACGCAAAAATAATCCAAAACCTGAAATTAAGCCAGACATGATGAAAATGATTTGAACCTCAATGCGGAGAAATTCGCTATCAACTTGCAACGCTTAGATGGACATCAGTAGTATACAAAGCACGATAGGGCACCGAAATAAAACAAGATGTTTTAAACCCCCACACGCGAAAATATTAGTCTCTAAAGTAAATGAAGTCATGAGCAAATAAATGTACATGCTTTCCAACATGTCTCCACATGTCATATCTGGCAAATCTAACGCAGTTTCAAAGTTATCTAGTGGCATCAAAAGAGCGGTTAAGAAGTTTGGACAGGATACAAATTCTTAAATTTAGATAATCTATACACGAGTCAATTCTACATTATATCATTTTCAAGAAATGCACACTGGAATGTGCGATTATTATTCCAATATGTATTGCCAGATTACAAACTGATTATAAATCCATTCATGTGAAAATTGCTGCCTGCTCACTGCACCACACGAATCGTTGTACATTTGACGATTGTCGCGGACATTCTTCTGGGTTGCCATGAATGAGCGTGGAGTCGTGGACCAGAAGACGAGGAGAGCAAGTAACAACATCGCAAGTTCGAATTTCAAACCAGCAGGCAAGAGGTGAATGATCGCTGACCTATTTATTGGATCGGAATGTCCAAATTAGTGCAAAGCTGACTGTGCGCCCGTGCTGCGAATAGCGGGCGTAGTGAGGACCCGGGTGGCAAACCCCTGACGATACCCTAAGAACGAGCGTGCTTGAACGCACGAGCCCACGAGGCGCAACGCTGTGAGCGCGATAGCAAGCGCAAAGAGCAGGCAGAGGGTTTAGGGACCGAAGAGGGAGACGACGTTGAAGAAACGGGGCTCGGAGCAGGATGTTGTCGATCTTCCGCAGCATCGAGTACAGCGACAATCGTTATTCACCTGGACATGTGAAGGGACTGCTGGATGGTCCGATGCTGTAGTTCGTATTACGGATTGGGGAGTTGAATTCTTCGTCGTCGTCGTCCGAGAGGTGGGGAGAGATGAAGTTGGTGGCGGGGTCTTACGAGCGTTTCTTGTGGGGATGGAAGGTGCAAGCGAACGAGAAGAAATTGCAGCTAGCTTTTTCTTACCCTGCTCATTTGGGCCCAGTGAAATGCATTGCAGCGTGCGGGTCGATTGTGGCCACTGGCGGTTCGGATGATACCATCAAGGTTTATGACGTGGGCGCGCAGAAGGATATGGGATCTCTGTATGAACATCAAGGGGCTGTCACATGCTTGGATTTTTTGAAACCGGAGGTGTCTCACCTCAACCGTCCCACTCACTTGTTCAGCGGCTCTGAGGATGGCACGATTTGCATATGGGACACCGATTCCTGGATTCACCTCAAGACTATGAAGAGCCACAAAACAGCCGTGAACAGCTTGTCTGTGCACCGTTCGGGCAAAGTTGCCCTGTCCGTCGAGAAGGATGGCCACTTGAAAATGTGGAATCTTCTCAAGGGTCGATGTACCTTTACCACGAAGCAGTCCTCCGAGTCCACTTGGATCAAGTTTGCACCCCAGTCCGGGGAATCTTACTCCGTTGTCAAAGAGGAGAAGCTGGAAATTTACAATGTCGAAACCGGGAAGATGCTGCACACTTGTGATAATGAGAAGCGTGTACTCTGTATGGCCCAGAACCAGGTGAGAATGCGATTTCCTTGGATAAGCATTTCATCCTTCTCGGTGATGGGGGTTTTGGAGACGAATGATGAATCCGATATTGATGGCGACTTTGACCAGCAGTGCCCTTCGAATCCGTAAATTTTGACTTTGAGTAGATGAGTGGAACTAAATCTATATGTCGAGATACTATTATGCCGAAAATCTTGAGACGTGAATAAAGAGTGTGCGTCTGGAAGGTCTGCTGCATATGTTGAGTATATCACCCGAGATGTCTGTACTGTCTGTAGGATGACTTGATTTTCACCGGTGGGGAGGATAGTATAATCAGGTGTTGGGACACAAGGAGCGGGCAGCTAGCCATTACTGTGCCCAATGCCCATTCCAGTCGCATTAGAGGAGTGGCGCTCTTGAACTCTCGGCAAGGTGCACTGGAGTCTGGAGAGATCCCTCAATTTATTGCCTCGGCTTCCTCAGATGGAACCGTGAGAATCTGGGACACTCGAATGGTTCAAGAAGCGAATGACCCCATGTCGCCAGAACCCATCTTTGAGACCTCGACCAAGTCACGACTTACTTGCCTCGTTGCTTGTGGTTCAATGAGAAGTAAGTCTTCATCCCTTTCTTATTTGCTGCTCCCTCCGTTTTGTCCGTGTCTAGCTTTCATTCAACTTGTTCATTTTTTCATTTCTCGTCAATTGCAAATCTCCTCGAAACTTTCCTCTTGTGTAAGTGTCGCAACGATGCTTTAAATGAGGAGCTGGGACTGAATATCTATGTCGGCTGGCAGAGGCTGGTTCCTTGAATACGGTTCCTTCTAACGAGGAAGGATCCAGAGATGTTGGTAAAGAAGCTGCCGATGCACAACCACTTACAAAGAAACGAGTTGCAGACGGATCAGCTTCATTAAAGTCTTCTAAGGGAAGTGACAAGAGTCAGAAGAAAGTACACGCGACTTCGAGTGTCAAGGTCGAAAAAGCTACCACTGGAGGACGGAAAAAGAGGAAGAGAAGTCAAAAGAATGCCAAGTCATAAAATCCGCCCATTCTGGAAGTTTCCGCGGTTAGTTTTCTCACTCATGTTTTCACAAGGCTGCTAGTTCTGCTCATATTAGTTGGGACTAAGCTTCCCGTTGGCTACATTGTAGATATTTGATCTTCAGGTTGCCTGTTGTTGAGCATTCTATGAGGGGAGCCAGGAAGTAAGCTGACTCTTAGGCTAGATAATCTTTTGTTTTGAACTTCTGGGTACGTGATTAAACGTAACGTGAAATGTGTTCTAGCAGAACAATTGTTGACCATCGTTTTTGTCACAAGGAATCCATGAGTTTCGCTGGCAACGTTAACACTTGCAATCTGGCCGTGTTTTTCCTGATTCGTTTCTGCCTGGGTAGGTCACGGTTGCAGCCCTATGCTACCGTACTGATCAAGACTTACCAGATAAAAAACACGTTATTCTAGAAACGGTTGCCGAGTGTATCAATGGGTGCTCGTGGTTAACGCACTATCGTGCATTAACAACGAGAAATAACCTAACCCTAACCACGATATCGTGCATTATCGTGCATTTCTTACTTTTAAGTTGACTGAGCCCTCTTCCAGATCGATGTTGTATGTCTTGGGAATTTTTCTTCAGCCCGTCTTGGTTGTTTTTCCTACCGGATGCTGGGCCAGTTCTTGTCCTAGGAGACTAACTCTAAGCCCTGGCGGTTCTGGCTTGTACACGGGCGGTAATGTATTAGATATGTTTATTCTGTATGAGGACTATGTTCCACTTTCTATCAGATAGTACCACCTGGTCTGAATTATCTTCTGATCGGTATCCCAGCGTTCTATTTCAGCCTGTGTATTCCAAGTGTTCGAAGATTTTGAGTTGCAACTAATTTCTAGGTCCTCACGATTGATAGTAAAAGCTGAAGTGTGCTCATGTGCCTGCAAAAGTACTCTGCCAATTAACCGTATGTCGTGAATGGGTGTACAATTTGGTTCTCGTTGCTGATTTTTTTCATGCATTCAGGTTGCCGGATCGTCCTATTGGCCGCGATTGGATTGAAGAAATGCACCTGTTCCAGCACAAAAACTTCCTCATTTTTTGATAGATATGACAGCAGAGACTGTAGGATGGATCAGAGGAGTCAGCCTCTGACTTGGAAGTTATGAAAGTCTTGTCAAGGCTGCTCGGAAACTGCTGGCATCTAGATTAGGACCTGGTTTACATGTCATTACCATCATAGAGGTCTCACTCCACACATTTTTGACCGATCTATGTACCGTGCTGTATCAACGAGTAGAAAGTGCGTTAACTTAGATTTAGTATGTACAAATATTCAGGGTTTTGTAATGTGATTATTTTGAGTAAAAGGTTCCTTGTCATGAATTTTGTGCACAAGACGACTGCGGTGGTCTGGTTTACTCATGGTACTGCGGGTCATGGGGCCTTGTGGTCACGTTTACACGTGGACGTCGAAACCCGTGGACCACCGGTGGCCCTGACAGATGGAGTGACAGATTCAACTGTGACTGCCGAAGGAAAGAGAACGAAGTTGCACATGGACCGGCATGGTATGGGAGCGTCCTTGTGGCAAACATCCTGAGGAAATGTGGTAAATTGAAGACAGTTGACGAATGAGCCGTTCTTTTGGTACTTCGTCCCTTCATAACAAAGAAAGAGTGTCTTTTGTGGTCATGAAAACAAGAACAGTGCAAAAATGTGTGTACTCGGATATACTGCGTACTCTTCTATCACATTTGGGAAACAATGTATGCAATCAAACATCGTAAAGCGCCTATAGAACCATCATGATTCTGGAGCTTTGAACTCGTCTTGATTGATGCTCGACAAGACTAAGAACAGACAGTAATTAGTGTTGTCTGCAGTATCAAATCCTTTTACTCTTCATACTCCAATTACTGTCGACAACAGTAACATTCACCAATGAAAGAGGTCGCTTGGCGAGTATACTCACGTATTTACTACAATGAGAAATACGCAGTATTATTGTTCTCTTGATTTATTTGTATGACTATTTACCTACCAAATTTTAACATGGAGTGAAGTAAATCGCCTAGAGAGTGGTAGCTATGCCCAATGAATACAAAGTAGGTGTTTGATCATGTCAATTCTGTTTGTAAAAATCGTAAGAGTACTTTAGAGTTTGTAACATTCTCTTATATCTTAATACAGTTTTAGACTTGAAATCATTCACTCTCCAGGATAAGCTCTTGACAAATTTCGATGATTAACATAAATTAATATAGAATTATTAAATAAAAAGAGTATCTTCCGGTTATAATGTTGCACTAAAAAGAATATAGACATTTTTTTAAATCATCATTATGCTTCTGTTTCTATTAATAGATGCTTGTAACGATTGTTAAGAGATTATGATTTTGTTCAAGAACGAGAATTTAATTCTAAACACCCAAGTCATGCATATTACTAAAATCTGGTAAACTTGATTATAAAAATTATATCATTTTTACTTTAAACCATTATTTATTTGCGGAAAAACAGTTGTAATTGGGTATGAATTGCCTTTTGATGTTTTTATATTATCAAATACAATATTATAGGAAAAAAATTAATTATTGTTTTCTTATAATGAAATCATATCTTTATGTTTTAGATAACATGTCAATTTATTTAACATAAAATAAATAAAAATATGAAATGAAAAATAACAAATTCACACAGCAGTTGGTTTTTGTTCTAGTCTCTCAATATTTCATTTAGAAAAAATTTGAAAATATCTTGAAAAAATTTAAACCATATATATATATATATATATATTCATTCATATGGATGTATGCAGGTTGTGATACACAATAAGATATTGCAGTTATAGCTAGAAAGTATTATATTGTATATAGATATATATAATAATGAATTCATTCATAATTGAATTTCAGTATATAATAACGTGTCAGTATAAACAGTTCTATTTTTAAATTAATTAAATCCATAAATTCTCAATCATTTGAAATTAAAAGAATTTAAAAAAAATTAAATATGAATTTAAATGCATTCAATTCATCAATTTGATCTTCTATGTAAATCAAAATAATTCATGCTATCTTTCAACATTGTATTAGCATTTGAACTATTGCAAATTTTGTATAAAATGTTTGGAAAAAAATTTTTACTGAATAATTGGTAAGACTTGCATCACCAACAACGCGACAACAGGTTTATGGACATTTAACATAGATAAGAAGAATAGGTAGGTTATGAAAATAAAATAAATTGATTGAAGTAGATTTCCAACAATCAAAACATGTATTTATATCGTTGCTGTTGAAGAATCGTAAGATCATGGATTCTGCTTCAACCATGCATTCAGAGGAGTTGCTTGCATTCATTATTTTATTCACATAAGTAAATTTAAAATTCTTCTTTTCATTTTTCGTATGAGTTATATTTTTCACAACTGACGTATTTTTTTCCAATGAGCATAAGATTTTTACATTACTTTAGATAGTACAAAATCATATATATTTTAACTCGTGGTTATTATAGGTCCGGACTCAAATATAGATATGAATATAAATTTCTCAATGTCAATTGATGTGAAACCAATTACTTTTGTATATTGCGTAGACTATTATTGAACCATGTATCCATTGGTGTTGTACATATATCACTCGTTGTGCAATCTGGTCAACAGATGATTCTCATAAGACTCTAGACTCTTTTATGTGTACATTTCTATAAGCATGAGGACAAATGGTTGATAAATGCTCTTGCGTCCTAGCCCCTTCGTTATCCCTCGGTACCATCGATGCAAGACTCGATGTTGTCTTCCCATCCTCTCGTTTCCGTTATATTCCTGGGTCCTATTTCGGACATTTTGGGAAACACAAACACGCAAACGGAGCACGAGGGGCAGCAGCAACCAGATGCAGGGTCCATTGACTCGCTCCGCTCGAGGATGCTATTGATCCACGGAGAGGACGATTAGCTGAATGTAAATTTACTCCTTTCATTTATATTAGAAGGAATTTGTGGCAATAAATATATTGTATATCATCTTCAAATATATCATGTATATTTAATTTATAAAATATTACATAATAGAAATTTATATAATATATACAGTAATCCTATTATCTTATATTTTATATATTTAAAATTCAAAATTTTGACTCAAAGTTGGAACGTAAAGGCTGACAATTTGAGATTTTTTTTAAAACGATATATTTACCCACCGATATTCGATTGAAATAAATTCCACCACATAGTTTGCGTTGGCTGTGTTGTTTATAAAATGCAATTTTTCTTAACTTTGTAAATAAACTACAAAGCTATGCCATGTTTTAGAGATTCGAAATTCAACTGTCACAAAAGTTATGAATTGTGATAGCTTGGCTACCAATTGAATTAAATTTTAAAACCTGTATCAAAGCCTCAGTTTTTCCGAGTGATATAACAGAATTGATGGGAGGAATTCGTGAAATTTGACGAAAGTAAACTAAATGGCTAAGTTCATCGAATATTTAAACTACATCAGATAGCATGTTATAGGGTTAACGGTGGATTTTTACAACTTAAAAGTAGTGGACTGCTTATGCAACAACAACTGAAGCACATGTTTGTTTAGTTGACCTCTAGATGTAGGAAGGATATTTGCAAATAGCTTTGTCGGCTTTGTCAATTCTAAACTTCATGAAAGAACTGTAATTTGGTTGGAAACTCGCTCTAGACCGTAGAATATCAGCCGTAAATGTGATATAATGACGATCCAATGGATAAGTTCAAATTATCTGAAAATCGGGGATCCATGAGAGCTACAATCCGCATCCACAAGTGGGACATGGAGTACCGAACGTCAGCCGACTACCACAGTGGAGATGAACGTGGTACACAAATGAACTGCAGGCGAGGAGCCTCGAACTTCGGTAATACTCCAGGATCTTCCAAGAACAGCCACACGCGCAAGGGATAAAGGATCCGGAAATGTCTGGAAATTTCCATCTGACGGCCACCACAGGCAGCAGATCTAGATCCGACGGCCGTGCTGAGTTTCACCACGGTGAGAGAGCTCCGGCAGACGCGAACCGGGGCGTATCCACATCGAGACTGAGGCCGCGGAGCGGGTGATCACGGGTTACCCGGTCGGGCGGCGAGGGGATTAGGTTTGTCTGAGAGGGCGTGGTGCCATGGCCAGGCCGGAAAGAAGGTTCTCGAGCCCGGGCCCGAGCCTACAACCTGGAGCGTGTGCACCGCCCGTCGCTCCGCGCCTGGTAGATGAAGATCACCCCCCAACCCCCACTCTGATCTAGTGGATTATCCTTGTATCCTGCGAGCGCTTCTCCAAATCGTACAGGCCGCGCTTAATTCAGGACGGTCGAGCACGAGCACGAGCGCCTGATCGAGAGCTGGGACTATGGCGTCCGCAGTGGGAAGCATGGCTGCAGTGAATGCCGCGGCTTCTTTGAAGCCCGTGGAAATCAGCGCTTCGAAGAGCGTGAAGAATGCTCAGTCTCTGGCCTCTTCTTCCGCGTTTTCTCGTCTCTCCTTCAACGATGTGCACCGGAGGCAGAGCAGGAGTGCTGTCGCCCGCAAGGGTGCCGTCCGCACCAATGCCATGGCCAAGGAGCTGTATTTTAACAAGGACGGTTCCGCCACGAAGAAAATGCAGGTACTTGACGAGGAGAAGCCGAGGAGGTTGAATTTCCTTGGCTCAGATTCTTTCTTGTGAGGGATGCCTCCAGTCTAGGGTGGGCTTGGGTTGAGTTTATTTTCGAATTTTGGACTGAATGGTGACCGTGAGTAGGAATCTCGTGTGAGAGTCAGTTCTTTCAAGCGGGGACCGAAATTTCACCCATCCCGGGTCTCCGTCGGCTGATTGGCTGGTATTTATATTCTTGCAGGCCGGAGTGAACAAGCTGGCCGACCTCGTCGGTGTCACCCTTGGCCCTAAGGGTAGGAATGTTGTTCTTGAGAGCAAGTACGGGTCTCCCAAGATTGTGAACGACGGAGTGACTGTCGCGAAGGAGGTAAGTGAAATGAAGCACTCTCTTCCTTATTACAGCTCAGCAAGTGCTCGTTATCTTTCCGAAATGAAAGGAATTTTAGATTCAATCGTTTTTGCGAGAAGACTGACACCTGGTGATGTCTTCGAAATAGGTGTAATTCTCACAGAGCCGTGGGTTGTACGAGTTTCACTATGTCCGTGTTTACATTCGTTAGGTCCCGAGTCCCAGTTTTGACCACATTTTTCCTAAATTCCTTCCTGTTTACCTGCCACCACTGTCTCTCATTGGGACTTCAAGCGCATTTTGTCTCGTTACCTTACTGGAATTCCGGCAGGTTGGAAATTTCATAGCGAATAGTTACTATGTTATTATCTGGCCTCCGTCTTTCGTAGTTCAGTTCTGTATACCCCTCGCGCCGCCCATGCTATGGGTTTTGGGTTTTGGGTGGGTTTGAGCCGTTTTCCTGCGATACCACTACGCAGGCTGCTCCTTATTATCCTCTGGGCCTGACTATATGCTAGTGTACCTTAAGGGAATCTTTTTCCCAAAATGCTTCCAGGAGGATTGCAGTTCTTCTCCATGAAAGTGCAGGGTGATAGTGCGTGCCAGAAGCCTAATGTCCCTGCGGGTTTCTTTTCATCTAGGTGGAGCTTGAGGACCCCGTTGAAAACATCGGAGCGAAGTTGGTGAGACAAGCTGCTGCCAAGACCAATGACTTGGCCGGAGATGGAACAACAACATCTGTCGTGTTGGCTCAAGGTCTCATCGCAGAGGGTGTTAAGGTAATTTATTCAAGGCATTGCTTCTGTAGGGTGTCTAGAACTCGTATTCGTACACACAAGAGTAATTATGCTGAGTGACGCTTCGAGTTTGTGTGCTGAACCGAAGACCTTTGTTTGTCCTGGTTCTGCTATGGACGAATATTGACGTTTTGCATCACTCCAGGTTGTCGCCGCAGGTGCCAACCCAATTCAGATCATTCGCGGAATTGACAAAACTATTGTTGCCCTTGTTCACGAGTTGAAGCTGCTGTCCAAGGAGGTAAGGATTTATATTGTTCACCAAGTTGCCAGTTCGTTATCTTGTTCTATATGGGGTAAAATAATTTAGCCTGTTCACTGAGCCTGTCGCATTGACATTCAGGTCGAAGACAGTGAATTGGCTGATGTCGCCGCTGTCAGTGCCGGAAACAACGAAGAGGTCGGAGCTATGATCGCCGAGGCAATGAGCAAGGTCGGAAGGAAGGGTGTTGTCACCTTGGAAGAGGGGAAGAGTGCTGAGAACAGTCTGTATGTTGTCGAGGGAATGCAGTTCGAGAGAGGATACATCTCTCCCTACTTCGTAACTGACCCAGAGAAGATGACCGTGGAATACGACAACTGCAAAGTGAGCTTCAAACTTCTCCGGGTTTCTTGTCTGCGGAGTTGATTGTGTTCGTTGTATCAGATATCTTGTGCAGGAATCTAGTGAGTAGTGGACTAATCTAGTAGCAGCCTTAGTGTATGAAGTGGAAATTCGAAATCCCTTTAGCTGACATGGGTCTTGATGCCTCGTATGGTTGTTAACCGGTCTGTCTCTCATGCAGTTGTTGCTCGTCGACAAGAAGATCACTACTGCTCGCGACATGATTGGAATTCTGGAGGACGCCATCCGCGGTGGATACCCTCTACTTATCATTGCTGAGGATATTGAGCAAGAAGCTTTGGCCACTCTTGTGGTGAACAAGCTTCGTGGGTCCTTGAAGGTCGCTGCCCTGAAGGCACCCGGGTTCGGAGAGCGCAAGAGCCAGTACCTGGACGACATTGCTTGCCTTACTGCAGGTCATTAACTTTCATATTTATAATCTCTTAGTCTGTGTCAGCTGCTCCTTGACGGATATGTTTAGTTTGAGCACATGCACTTAGTCGGCTTGATCACTCTTGCCTTTGTTGTACTAAAACTCATTAGTCAGTCTTGCTGACATAAAACGCTCAAACCATCACTGTTGTATCAGGAACTGTGGTCAGAGATGAGATTGGCCTGTCTTTGGACAAAGTTGGAAAGGAAGTGTTGGGGAACGCTGCCAGGGTTGAGCTCACCAAGGACTACACCACCATAGTCGGTGATGGGACTACCCAAGACGCCGTCAGCAAGAGAGTTGTTCAAATTCGAAACTTGATCGATGTAAGGGCCTGTCGGTTTACACCGTGTCGGAACGTGGATGTTGTGGATTTCTCTAGTCTTATGCTCTGCATGTATACGCGCTCACGGCTTTCTCCCCAAAGTTGCATACAGTAGAGTCCCTAATGTGTTCGATTGGAACAGAACGCCGAGCAAGAGTACGAGAAGGAGAAGTTGAACGAGAGGATCGCAAAGCTTTCGGGAGGAGTTGCCATTATTCAAGTAAGTTCTCGCACTTTTACTCGTCATAATTGTTATCCAAATTCTTGTAATGCCCCTTACATTGGGATTTATACCGTACCAAAGTGTTCTTATCCCAGAAAGCATCGGGGCTCCTGCACTTGATTATGAAAGGCTTATTTGGGTTGTCGAGTGAGGACTATCCCTTGCTTACCACGCTCTTTTTGTTCAGGTTGGCGCCCAAACAGAAACCGAGCTCAAGGAGAAGAAGCTTAGGGTTGAGGATGCTCTCAATGCAACGAAGGTAAATTTTGAATATATTGTTTGGTTTTCTCCCATGTTATTCAGTTTCTGTTTGAAACATATGTCGGGAGAACTGTTATAGAACATCTATTTTGGGAAATCGCGCAGGCCGCTGTTGAAGAAGGCATCGTCGTCGGAGGAGGATCAACTCTCTTGAGACTAGCTGCGAAGGTCGATGCTATCAAGGCAACCCTTGAGAACGATGAGCAAAAGGTTTGTGTTTGTCTACTCTCGGTGGATTCAGTTTCAATAAATGAAGTTGAGATAACAAGATCCTGCTTCTTTTTTAGAACTGACCTCATGTCTTTTCTGAATAGGTCGGTGCCGATATTGTGAAACGCGCTTTGAGCTATCCTTTGAAGCTTATCGCCAAGAATGCAGGAGTTAACGGAAGCGTCGTGGTGGAGAAGGTGAGATTTTAAGAATTGTGCTGTCTCGTGTTACAAGGTTCGAAGCATCTGTTGAAGGTGACGTTTCTGCTCGGTTGTACTGAACGCAAGAACTTGAAATGTGTAGGTTTTGTCGAATGACAACCCTAACTGGGGATACAATGCCGCCACCGGTGTATATGAGGATCTGATGGCCGCAGGAATTATCGACCCATCTAAGGTTTGTTGCTTTTGTCGCACTGTATCTCTAACAGGAGAAAAGTCTGTGTTTTCGCTGACTTTTGTTTTGTATATTTGTTGGGACTTGTTTGACTTGGATTGCATTGGGTCTGAACATTGTAGTTGCTCGGGGCCCAGTCATAACCCGCTTTGAAATTGTCGTACAGGTCGTAAGGTGCTGCCTCGAAAATGCCTCATCGGTTGCGAAGACCTTCTTGACATCGGATGTCGTTGTCGTGGAGATCAAAGAGCCGGAACCCGCGCAACCAGCAAACCCTATGGATAACTCAGGTAAAAGCGATCATTGATTTGAAGTCTTTTGTTGGTGCTGTTTTGTTGATGCACTGTAAAGTACTAAAGTGCGAATAATAATTGCCCCTAATGATGAGTTTTTATTATCGACACTTGAATTGTCTGACACATCAAGTTTTTGGTGCAGGTTACGGATATTGAGCACAGTAGCTAAGGAAGTCAGACGATACGAATTCGCCATTAGAAAGATGAGTGAGATAAATGCTGGGTTTTTGCTCCCGATGTTATATGTTAGCAAATTGCGGAATTTAGTGAGCCAAAATTGAGGTATTGATATCCTGAAGTTAGCAGCAATATCTCTTTTGGTAACAATTGATGAGCTGTAGATGGAGTCATCAATGATTTAACATAGGATGGGTTGGACATGTCCATCCCAAAGTTGTAGAATTACCTGTTGAATAAAGTACACAATCTAAAGATTGGAATCAAAGATGGCGCATACACCTATATTTACGTGATATATTGGCCTTTTAATTTAAGTGTCATGTTCCAAATCCAGGGTGAAACTCATTTCGTAGTCCTCAAAATCTGTGTCGTGTTTAAGAGATTAGGCATTCACACGGAAGCAATTACTCTCCTGGAGAATGTACCAAAATATAACCGAACTCCTCCTGAAACGTGACATACATGCATCCGAGTTTCTTTCCGTTGAGAAAAAACAATTGAAGGTGAGGATGACGTATATAGGATGTGTAAAGACTGAGAAAGACTGTTTTTCTACCAATCCCCAGAGTGCGTACTGTACGATTGATGTAATGTCCATGGCATAGGAATAGATCATGTCCCGAGCTAGAGAAATCCTCTAATATGTGCGGAGAAGAAGCATTTAGCGTTGTTTCCAAATTATGTACTAGGAAACATCAATCTCTCTGCTCTGGAAATCTGTTGCCTACAAGTATTGGAAAAGCAATCTACATTTGGTGACAGCAGACACTCGCATGTTAGGTTTTGCATAAAGTCACATCTTCATAATATAGCCCACATCATTTATTTACAATAATAATCTTCAGAATACAGTGACGGTGTGTCGTTGGTGGGTGTTATAGTGTAAAATGATAACTAATCGATACAATACATGGGTCCCAGTAAACTATTAATGATAGAATCTTAATAAGCAATTTGTTTTCTGATGGAGTTCCCTCAAGTAATTTTCGTTCACTGAACGAATGGAGCCCAATCACCTTGATACTAGCACCGTTTACAGTGCTAGTATGTAACTATGAGCAATGTATTATGATGACAAAAATTTAACAGATTGTGTATATATGTTCATGTAAACAGAAAGCTATTGTGGAATTCTTAGTATCAATATGAACTTGAAAAAAATTAATAGTGATTATATGTCCAAAGTTTTTTAGCATTATGTTTTCTTTTGGGAAAATGATTGTAACAAATAAGTTGTTTCAAACCTTCTCTTAAACTCTCTTATTATAATATTATCTGATTATAGATTTGAAATCTCATTTAAATTTATTTCAAATTTCTTAAAATAATGAATCAAATTTTTCATAATTTCTATAGAAGTAAATGATAAAAAAATATAATTTAATTATAAAAAATTTCAAATCTAAGATTTAATAAATTCACAATGATCAATTTACTTTTTACTTGATTTCTTAATACTTTCTTCAACATTCATTGCTTAAGAAATTGTATTTTTTGTCAAATAGCTCATAAAAAATACTTGTATTGATAATTCTATAATATATTCCAAAAACTTAACAGTTTTAGGATTTGAAAAATATTTTAATATCATGTCAACTATTTATTTTCAATAATTATTTTCTATCATAATTTCCAATTAAAACTGAATGAAATATTTTTAAATAATTTATAAAAAATAAAAATAATATATTGCAATATGCATTAATTTAGCTTACAATATGTATGTTAAACATGATTTGCTAATGTATTATATAAGCTTCCCCATACTTGTATATTGAGGATTCTTTTATGGAAAGCATTCAGTTGTGAATTGATGTCTTATACATTATTGTTTGAGTTAAACTACATATCTTACTTTCAATTTTTTTGAATTTCAACTTAGACTTTTCAATATTTAAAATTTATTCTTCACAACCATTGAAAGTTATATGAACAATACATTTCTTGTGCGAAAAGATATCATTGTATTTAGTTTTAATTTCAATGTAGAGTTTTAAATTTTGAAATATAATATAAAAATAAAAATCATGTGAAAAAAGTAAAGATCAATAAAAATTTCATATTCAAAAATATAAAAATATAATATTTTAGAAGAAATATCACATATGCATATGTACATACATGTATAAAAACTTTTACGTTAAGATATGTAATACAAGAGTAATTTTTATATTCTGTGTTAACTTAACATCTTATACACAATGTATCATAAATTTCTAAATCAACTTCATCCAAACCATGTAATGAACTCTTATACTTTATCATCCAAAAGTACAAGTACAATTATTATCGTGTTTATAAAATGATGACCAACATAAGCTTTATCTTGATAGTAGATTACCTTGGAAATAGATTTGCTCCTGTTTTAACTCTTGTTGATGATGAAGATGTGCAAAAATTGAATTAAGTGTAGACAATCTAAGCTTCAATTGAAAATAGAATTGGAAAATCTATTTGAAAAAAACTGAAATTGAAAAGTGGAGGCAAAGCGAAATTTGATTATTAGTGCAATCTTTATTTAACAAGAAAATACTCAAGCGAATTCAAAGTTAAAGTTTATTTCAAAAAAGTACAGTTAAGTGAAGATCAAATATGTTAATATTCATTTAACCAAGGTGGTTGAAAAGCTTGATGCTAAGTATTATGACTTGCTTGAAGATGGTTTATGATGCTAGATGTTTGAATTCACATGGAGAAGTATCAACTTTGTAAGATTGAGGTTATTGGATGTGTTAAGATTCAAATGTTTTGAATCTTAACACATGATGAAGTCTTATATACATTGATTCAAGTCAAATTTATACCTGATATGAAAATAAAATTTATTTTTTTGTTGAAATGTTAGATTCAAAATGGAGCTTCAGATTAGGAACGCTTGAGATAAAAATACATGATTAGTTTATGTTAAAGGTAACAAACATAAAATTTCAATAGTTGTTGTACTGCATTAGCTTATGTGATGAGATCATTTATACTAAATCTTGAATTGAAATTTATTATGTATGACATTTTAAGCTATAATACTCCTTGATGATAGGAACTTGTTACATAGATAAAGTTGATTCAAAGTTTTGTGAACAATGTGTTGGAGTAAAATATGATAGATAAGATCTTGATGTTAAAATTCACAATTCTAATTTATTATTTGAGTATGTATATAATGAAGTGTGTTGACAAAAAATAACAAAAATCTCACGTTTTCAAAAGTTGTATCATTTTGTTGTTGTTGATGATTATTCAAGGTTTGTGTGAGTTTATTTTCTCACACAAAAGTATGAGGTCTTTACAACTTCTAAAAGTTGGAAAGTACAAGTTGAGACTTAGATTGAATTTTCAATAGTACAATTTTAAAATTTAACTTAAACTTTGATTGTACAGTCTCTTTTGTCGTAGTAAAGAAAAATATGATCCGGTAGAATCTATATCCAAGATGTTTCATATTCTTGAATATGCTAGTGATGTGAAAATGTATATGCTAGAAGATACTATAGCTTTCATTATTATTGTGATATTTTTTCAATCAATCAAAATCATTGAAAGAGTAGATGAATTTTCACACTTCATGTATTAACATGCACAAATCTTCATTCAAGATCATTGAATAGATTGATCATTATGTGATTACTTATGAAATATACGGTGAAATTTGTATATAGATGAAGTGAATTCATGAAGAGCAAAAATAATATGAGGAGATTATTGTTGATGAATCTCAAATATTTGCACTAGATGATAGAGTTAAATCAAAATTATCTACCAAAATATCATCAAATTGAATTAAAAAGGTATGAATTACATATTGATTCATCTATTTTCGAAAATTGTGATATTAATGTTGAATTAGTTGATATTATTGCGTTGATTTAGAAAAATTAAAACCTTTTTCTTATAGAAAAGCTCAAAAAAATATCAATAAGCATGCTAGAAGTATTGCTAGATAGAGTGAGATGCAATTGCTAATAGACAACAAGACCTAGGAGTAAGTGGAACTTCCAAAAAAATCAAGGTTTGAATTATTGCAAGATGTACAAGCCAAATTTAATCCAATAGATGATGAGAGAAAAATTTTCAAAGTCAATCGGTGGTTAGAGATTCACAAAATAGTATTGTGTGAATTACAGTAAGTTTTTTTTATTTGTAGTAAAATATGCTCCAACTTCTGTACTATGTGCAATTTTTGCATTATATAATATTTTTATGAATTAGATGTATGTAGGTAAAAAAATTATCTATGGTTTTTCAAATTGAAATTTTGAATCAATTTTTTTCAAATTTCATTAAGAATAATGAATTGATTCTGAAAAAAAAATTAAAGAGAAATTAGTTTGTAGATTGATGTTTTTATTATATGAATTGAAACAAGCTCATAAAATGCAAGGTTTCATGAGTTTATGAAAACACAAAATTTTTTACGGAGTGGATATGATACATTTTTTAAATTAAAAAATAAAATTAAAAATGAGATGTTAAATTTCATTATTCTATTTTTTCACAAGATGACATGCTCATTTTGACACAAAATTGATACTTTGTTGAAACAAGCAAGAATGAGCTTAAATTTTCACTTAAAATGAAGGATTTAGAAAAATCCAAAAGTACATTAGGGAAGAATATTCATAGAGATTCAAAAAAAAATTATATTTGAATTAAGACAAGTACGTTCAATGTGTGTTTGATAATTTTAATACGACAGATTATAAAGAAGTTTGAATTGTTTGTTAGCTCACTTTTGATTTTTTGTACTTTAGTGTCAAGTTGATGACTTTAAGATGACTAGGTAGGGCTAAAAGTTAAAGGTTTGGCTATAGTATAAGGTAAAGATAGAGCTAAATGGGTTACTCGTTAATTACCGGTTAACCCTCGTACCAGGAAAAACAAAAATTACCCAAAAAAATCTCTCTCAGAATTACTCAAAGATAATTATGCACATTCTTCCTGAAGACGTCATCTAGAAAACAGCAATGCAGGTTTAAGCAATGCATGTAATTCCGACCGCAATCGTTGTTCTGCATAATCTCGTGAAAGCACGAAGTGTAAAAGCTCGGGGTTGCAATATTAGTTGCAGTAATCTTGTGGGCTCTCCATTCAAGGTTAGTAGCTGAAAGGAATAAACGGGTAAATTACCCTATTACCTCTTAACTTATACCCTAAAAGGTAGATTTACAGGGTCACCCTGAGGTAAAGGTAACTTTTAAACCTTCAAGAACCTTTACAAGGTAATAGGGTAATTACCATGAGGTAGAAATAAAAGGTAAAGGTAGACAATGATGGCATGAGTAATGTAAAAGGAAGGGTAAAGGTAAAGGCCCATTCCTTACCCTGGTTACCTTTTACGTTACCTTGCCTTGCTGAGGCCTACCTGTATCTATGCATTCATGTGTTACCAGGAGTGAATAAGTTTTGACTTTCCTCGTGGTGAATGACGCCACATCTTCTTTTCAAGCTCTTAGAACTGCGTGAAATCCATACTTTTATCACAAGTTGGTAACTTGATTTGTAACAACTTCAACATGTTTAAAGAAATATTTTTAAGTATCCATTTGAAGTGCAATCTCCCCTTTCATAATTCTTAGCAGAGACACAATCAATTTTGAGAAAGCGTGCAATTTCCATAGATACATCTAATAAAATCTTGAGATAGATTCTTGAGAACATCTTACATCTCATTCATGATTTGAAGATAGTTAGGGAAGAATACAGCGTAAGGGGCATATCTTCATTCCACTGGTGTTAAAATTGCACAGAGCTTCTGGACTACAAACGTCCTCGGGATTCTAATGACAGCCGACCCTAGTCTTCTTCCATCCGATAATTCAGACAACATCACATTAAAGCGTGCTTTGGTCTATGATGTTGAGAGAAGAATAATTTAATGGAGGAAGGTAATTAAAACAATCCTGAAACCACTCCGGGCTATGTGCATGAAAGAGACAAAAGGAAAAATACTTAATTCTATGTTTAGACGTGTGTGGAGAAAACATCAGAGGCGAGGATGAAGACTCCGAATTATCATGAGAAAATGTCCCATCCTGTTTAGTCTATACTGGCGTAATTCGACTTTTGCTCTGTGGCTGAGATGATGTGTTTTCAAAAGGCTTTTTATTCCCATGCCTTTTCATTCTTATACTTCAGGAGTTTGACCAGCCCATTGACTCTGACCAATCCATATTCTATCCTCCCTATTAAGTTGCATGCGTGTCGTGGAACCATTACTAAACATCATAAGATACAAGCTCATTCGTTCTAAAACCAGATTCAATGCTACATGTTCCTGTCGAGCCAGACGGCTCGTAAAATACGTTGAGGTAGAGAATGCTAGTCTTCCTAAACGTCACGTTTCCTAATAATGTGTCGAAGTCAGAAGTTTGAGGAGCTTGCTGCTAAATACCCTCAAGGCAAAAGAAAAGTGCTTTGGTCGTACAGCGAGAAATATACCACTTTGTCCGAGGTGAAAATAATTGAGCCACATCCGGACTGCTTGTACAACATTAAGCTCGGACCAGGAACAAAATCCAGTACTCGCAAAGAAAGATGAAACAAGATTGTCAGCTTGTCAATGCTGTAAAGCATGGAGTATCCATCGACTCCGGCTTGAAGGAGCAGCTTCCATAATATATGAACATGAGTGGTTGTCTTATAGCATTCTTCCGCTCAAGAACAACCATGGAGCTCACGGGTCCAGTTTTTAAACACCGATTGGTTTTTAAACCCTGAACACTCAAGAGGCTCCCGGGTACAGCATCTGCTGATGTCCAAGCCTTGGCCTTACAATGTAAAGACCACATATATACCAGAGCATTCTTTCCGTAGAGTCCGACCGAGAGCGAAGGCACCCCAATGTTGGGGAAATGAAGCTACATGAAGATATTCCTCCACCTATGCCACCTCAATCTACACTGTTCTCTTCCCAGAGGACATCGAAACAATCTCTTGTGCTTCGTCTGTCTTCCCTGCCCTCCTAAGAGATCGCATGAGCATATAAGATGTAACGGGATCAGACCGGTATCCCTTCTCTGACATTTCTCTAAACAAGCGATAAGATTCATTCACAAGGTGGGCAGAGTTGCTGAATCCACGTATTAGACTCCGATACATTACTCCATTGAGCAAGCAGGGCTTGTTCATCATGTCTTCGTACAGCATATAAGCCTTTCTGAGATGGCCTTCCTTGCAAAGTCCATCGAACAGTGCATGACAGGTAAGAACATTCGGTGATATACCTTGAGCTTGCATCTCCTCGAACATTTCAAGAGCTGTTTGTGCTCTACCTGACTTGCACAGCGCATCAACTAGGGTGGTGCAGGTCACGACGTCAGGTTTGATACCTAAAACTTGCATGTCTAAGAACAAGTCACATGCTCTATCAACCTGTTTGGCCTTCCCAAAAGTTGATAAGAGGGTGTTGTAGGTAACAAGATCTGGTTTACACCCACGCTCTGACATACTCTGGAACAGATTCCATGCTTTGTCTACGTCGCCTGCCTTTCCGAACCCATAGATTGCTGCGTTGTATGCAAACAGGAATAAACGAGGATCCGACTTTGCCGTTTCTCGAAAGACCTCATGAGCTTCCGAAATCCGACCTGCTTTAAACAACTCAGTGCACAATGCAGTGTACACAGCCCTGTCAACACTCAAGCCTGCACATTTACTATCTGTTGACCTCAAGACACCATCATCTTCCTCTTTTGCCTCGCAATAGGCACGAGAAGAGTCAACTTTGTGGGCATTGAAGCAACTCCCCTCCATTGTCATGAACAGCTTACAAGCTGAGTCCAAATCACCCCCTTGACAAAATCCATCAATAAGCGTGCCGTATGTGATACCATCAGGACTCAAGTTCTCTGTTACCATCGTCTCGAAAAGCCTCCAAGCTTCAGGCAACCGGCCATCTTTGATCAAAATTCTCAATGCCACGTTATAGGTGAGTACATCCGGTACCATTTCCCAGTTCACCATGCTTCGGAACAGTCGAAGAGCATCTTCGGTCCTGCGGGCAAGACCCAGACCATGTATGAGGATATTGAAAGTGGCCTTCTGCAGACGTAGCTTCTTCTCCTTCATCTGTTGAAATAGCTCTAAAGCAAGCTCAATGCGGCCAGCCTTGCAAAGGCCATGGATCATCGTGTTAGTGACGACTACATTTGCCAAATCCTTGTTAGCTGCGAACAGGCTCCACGCTTCATCTAGCTTTCCTGCTTTGCAGAGAACATTGAGAAGAATAGCAATCGTCACCGCAGTTGGTTTGCAAGACTGATGCTTCATTTCTTCAAGAATTGTCTGCATCTTCAGGAAACTGCCACTCACTCCAACTAGAAGATTATTGAAGGTGCAGGAATCTGGACGGCAACCAGCATCTAACATTCGCTGATAGAGAAGCTGAGCTCCGTGCGGACAGTCTGCTTTAATTAACACGTGCATAAGACTGTTGTACAACGATGACCGCGGCCGACATCCAAGATCCTCCATTCGCTTCAGGCACTCAATAGTTTCTTCAGTCATTCCACCTTGACCAAATGCAACCGCCAAGGTCCTCAGTACAAGGGTGGAACATGATAATCCCTTCAACTCTAATTCCTTCTTCAGCTGCTTTAAGGTGCTGAATGATTTTGAAGAACCCAGAGCTTTGATCAGTGCACAGTAAGTGCCAGGCGTGTGCTTGAATCCACTTTGTCCTTCAGCCCATTTGAACAATCTTAGAGCCAAGTTTGAGTCGGTTTGACGTTGCAGCAACTCGATAAAATACGAGGGTGTTAATCTTGTGCGCAGCTTGGGCCTTCCATCGCAGATATCGGTCCTCGACTTCTGTTGCCGCCTTGCGCCAGTCCGATCATCTGAACTTGCATTAGGGTTTCCATCCATGAGGCGACTGTGAACAAGGAGAGCACCATTCCGAGTTCTCGATCCATCCAACACCGGCTCTCTATGTCCCCCGTTTAGAGACGGGATGGACCCTTGAGATTGCATAAGCCCTCCAAACGTGTGCAGGTGTCCCTCGTCTGCAACTAAGGCTTGACTGTTGGGAATGCCAAGGCCCAAGGTTGACAGGAGAGACTTCTTCATAAGAAGCGATCCACCCACACGATCTGCTGGAGGCGAAGAGAGAGTTTGAATCGGCCCAGACCAACACCACGGCCATGATTTTCGAGGGCCTTTAGCAACTTCCCCTGTACGTGATCTTGTCAAAAAAGCTGCAGTGACCTGCCAGTGGATGTTCCAGGGGGAGCCATCGAGCTTGGAGGGTCCATCTGAATGACAGATTGGAGAGTGTTCACAAAGAGTGTTCCCGGAGATGTGGGCATCTCCGGGATACAAAGGGCCTTGTTTTCCACAGTACAAATAAAGTAATGATTTAGAAGACCCAAAACTTCTTCCTCTGCCATAGTACAAGGCCTCCCCGAGTGGCTCCTGCTCAACATAGCAATTGTGGCGTAAGAAGTGCAAAATTCTGCACGCCTTGAAACGGGTGGCCCCAAGAACCATGGCACATGGCGATCCAAAGATCTCCCAGATTTCATCGTTCGACCTCGAGCTTACTTTGCAACACACAAGCCCTCGATGTGATTACACGCCAAACGCATGAAACACTGGAAGAACTTCGAGGCAAAATGTACAGACTAATGTCTCCTCTCCGACAGGCACTTGAATCCCGCAAGAACCCTGCAATGCGTACAGCTGATACTCTCCGCCCAGCTTTCTGCTGCTCAATAGAATCTGTGATCACACTCTGCAATGACCGAATCCAGCTGACTGGTTCATGAACATCGAAGTGTGCAGACTTCCAAGACAATTTTACTTCATCGAAATGACAGAATCTCCACCAAAGATTACATCTCCTAATAAAATTGAACACGTCCAAACCTCCACGGACGACAGCCGGGTTCGCAGCAGATTCAGAAAGAAATCTGTAGGAGGGGTAGCATGCAAAGCTTCGCGCTTTCTAGGAAACTGATCCGACATACAGGCAAGAAATACAAGAGAATCCGAGGTTCAGCAAAACGAATCAAACAGCTCTACGCCTCAGCTGCACATCAGGCCTTCGCGAATTGACATCGGCACTCGAGTAGAGGTGAATACAAACCTTCCCAGGCAACGGGGCGACGTCCAATCGGGGAGTGCCGTGAACAGCCTTGTGCGGGATCGCTGCCCCCACAGCGCCATCGGCATGAGAGCTCGGCGCCAGCACGAGCAAGAAGCAAGCCAATTCATGTGCAGCTTGACGGCCCCGCTTTCCGAGCACTCGTTCGTTCCTTCGACGGCCACGGGAGGTCCCGATTGCGGATCGGCGACCTGCCGCACCAACTCACCTTCTGCCACGAGCCTTTCCGAGTCCCGCGCGCTACAAGAACTTTCCCTCGCTCACTCCTCTCCATGTTCATTCATTCTTTTCGCTGTCTCCGGGTTCACTATCATATTTTAATCTGGTTCAATCCCTATCCAGCAGATATTCATCTATTCAATGCATCATTACTGATGTAGTGTTTATAGTTTGTGTTGCATCTGAACAGGGATAGTTAAAATTTGGATCTCCTGACTACAAATCTTACACATTTAGACCAAGAAATTCATAAAAACCGGGAGAACATTTTACGGTTCCCATAAAAATAGGGTAAATCTTGATGTCTCCATAAAAGTTACTATCCAACTTTTACGGCCAGTCATAGTACGTACAGCTTATCAGATTTTTTTACCAATTATTGTTACATGCAAAATGTGTTGGATTTTATAATATTATTAATGTCTGGTTATCTGAGAATAAATATAGTATTATCTTTCAAAAAATGTATTCAGCATGTTAATAATTTTATATTAACACATATAATTTGATACATATAATGATGTTATACATTAATACATATAATTCATGTTATAATTATAATCGCAATGTATATCATCATAAATTACATGATGCATATAACTTTGATAAAACATAGATATTGAAACTCGGCGGCATAATTATCACAAATTACATTTGTAATGTAAATGATAAATAGTAATGTGATGTCATATATTTTAGTAAACTAATACGTTTGACACGTGAGCATAGAGAATCTTCAAGAACGCAATACTTCCAAATGAAATTTTGTATGTTTAAAGTAAAAAAAAACCCCCTTATAAAATTAATTAAAAAGAACACTTAATTGTTTCAAAACTACATATAAAATCTAAGAACTCAGTTGTAAAGAATTCATCTGGCCATATAAAAATCACATATGAAGAAATCTGACATCATCAATAACTGAAGATGATATACATGTATTACTTTTAAGTTGCATTTTCCTTTGTACTTTGTGTTCTTCATTTCAAAATATATTGTGTTAGTACATATTTCCATGATACATGGATATCTTTCATTATTACCTTCCATGACTAACCGAGGTCAAAATTACTAACTCCAATATAAAATTCACACCTTCCATGGCTTACCAAGGTCAAAGTTATTAAATCGGGTATAAAATTCACATGCACAGTTCTGGTACTTGTACCAACAAACCAGACAAAAGAGATAAAGTAGTACTAGACTATGTAGTATTAGGCTAAAATTAGATTAGTACCCTAAAAGTAGGAGTTAGGTGTACCGCGGAGTTTGTTAAGCTCAAATAGCGGCTAAAGGACGGTACTAATATACATGGCGGCTCTGGCGGAAATGAACGAATCACCTTAGCGCCTGAGCCATCTTCTCGAGAAACTTAGTGGAACTTCGACAAGTGTGATTCAGCTTAATGACTAGCAACTTTTTTTGTACCTTAGTCCAATAAGCGATTAACGATGGGGCCCAATGTCGCACCCAGCTATTGGCTAAGGTTAAGTAGAACTATGATTTTGTCAGACAGGTAGTCTGGAAGTATCAAGAAGAAAGTTTTTGGAAGTACCTGGAAACTCAGCTCTATAATTTTTGAATCTTAATCAAAAAATCACATGCTCATGTCCGAGATCTACATGATTTCCCAGCGAGATTTTGCGGATAAAAATAGATCAAAAATTAGTATTTAGAGCCAAGCGGCTTAGTAGTTTAGTATCTTGTTTTCCGTGTGGAGTTTGTGTACTTTTCAACTAGCAAAGAAAAGTGGTTCTTTTGTGACATGATGCAAGTCATGAGTCTAGCGGCAAGGTCCATTGTGTTGGATTTTCGTATTTCTTCTACTTTGTTTATTCTCTTGTAAATAATTCCGGAGGAGAGCCGGTTGGGTCCGATAGCAGGAGATCGCTGGAGCTGCTGGAGGCGGATGCAGACCGAAGACCCTGATTCGATCCGGAAGTCCGAAGTAGCCTGGAGGAGAGAAGACGCATTGTGAGTTGTTCTTGATGGTTTCTAGTGCACGGTTGTTCGTGTTTCAAATTCTGAGCTAAGGCTAGAATTCTCCCATCAGAGGGACAAATCATGTGAATAGATCTAGAAGATAATATTGGAAAGATTACTCAAAAATCACTTAGTAAATTAAGTACAACTTAGCTGGAATGTTGTTGTAGTCCGGACAGACTCTGAGTGACCGCGTCCGGGTCGGGGTATCAATTGAAAGATGTGAGAATATGTCATGCGCAACTACCAAACTATGGGGTAGCAAGTTAGGAGACAGTGGGTGTCCAATCACTTAAAACATATTGGGCAGTGAAGGTCTGATTACTTAAAATATCCGGGTCAGTGGTGAAATCGGCCACTCTAAATCAACTGCTTAGTGGTCCCAACCACTTGTTTAAAACTCCGGCAAAAAAGTTCAGTCATACAGATCCGGAACAATCCAGATCAGTGTTACATCCGGAAAGTACAGCTTTCGAAAGTGTAAGAGTGGAATCTATCAGGTCCAGAAGAAAACAATAGATCTTTGTGAAAACAAAACTGGAGCGGTTTGCTCTAGAGCGCATTTAACGCAAAATAGATGCAATCTGGAGGAATACTCATATGCAAGATTGCTACAAAGAGAGCCACTCACGACATCTTACTCTAGTCAAAAAGTGGATGGCCAATCTTTAAATCTGAAGATTGAAGATGATGATATGGATGAACGTGATATTCACGATGATGTTTTAATATTGGACTTCCTACGGACCACTATGGTGACCTCCACAATGAATGCCAAGGAGTGAGATCGTGTTTTTTAACAGACGAAGAGATAACGATTGGAGGTAACACATGTTCTTTGAGTGTGGAAGGATAGCAGGATACAAGTAGTATCGCATCCAGCTTAGAGATCGCGCATTGTGCGACATGCTCATGCGGAGTTGGGACATTTTGGAGTGAAGTGTACATACAACTTACTCCTTGGTAAGTATTGGTGACGTGGTATGCATACTCAGATACAACAGTTGGTGTTACGTTGCATGGATTGTGAACGAGTGAGGGCATCATTCAATGTCCTAACACCAGAGTTACACCCATTCTCTATCATGGGGTTGGATTACCGTTGAAGTTTGAACTTTGTTGGACCATTACATTTAACTCTAAGACATTATCGGTATGCGTTGGTGATGGTGGAGCATTTCTCTAAGTGGATTGAGTTGGTGGCATTACCTGACAAGACGAGTGAGAGAGCAGTGTATGCTTTCCTTGACCGGATGCTTAGTGCTTTTATGTGCACTAACTGAGGTGTTGACTGATCAAAGTACATAGTTTTAATTTTAATGTGAGTTTCAGATCTTGTGTGACAAGGCGCTGATTGATCATCGACTCATGTCTCGAGATCATTCGGAGGCGGATTATAAAGAAGGTGTTGTAAAGACGGTAAATAGGACGTTGCGCAAGTATGGCATACAAAAGGGACATCTTGGGGACTGAAATATTGAGTTAACTTGGTTGGTCATGGAATATCGCTTCAGTTGTCAAGCATGCTTGGCTTCTTTCTCACCATAATTTTAATTGTACGGCCGAGATACAAACATGCCGACATCGATTCGTTGTGAGTCTAGCTAGATGGTGAGTCTTGATGATCCGAACATGTGGGTGAGAGTGTGTTCTCAACATGCATAGCTCTTTCGGAGAGTTATGTCTGTAGCGCTTGAGAAACTTGCAATTGTTAAGCATAGAGATACGTTGTGATATGCAATCATCCGGAGGGGAGGTTATCGACCATCAATTTGTCGGTTCCATGTGAAAAATTACGTCTATCTACAGCAAACTGCACCGAAAGTAATGGACGTGACAACGGAACGCATTATTTTGCGAGTGCGGAAGGTGTTATCTTCTAGATTTTTCATGTTTGAGTAATATGACGGTGTTGGTTGGAAGTATAATGTGCTCAACTGTGCGCCATGCCAACTCCCAAACGTGGATGGTACTATGGATCCAAGCTTGGAAATAGTACGTGCTAGCTTCAGGTGCATGTTATGTGGGTCAACTGGTAAGGCGTTCCGTATGTTGGTGTGATAAATTTTCTAGGAAGTGCCACATGGCGTGCCTGACCTATGTTGTTCCGATTGGAAGATGGGTTTGTACTTGATGTACTTCGGAGGGATAAATGACTTGATCTTCACATGTTATGAATTGCAAATAGGCACATAGCACCCCACCTATTAGTTCGCGCACCCATGAAGATGTATAACATGTAGTTGTAGATTTGGGTACCTGGCCATAGATTGTAGCCATGTAGATTGTATGATGATACATATTCGCGCCACAACTGTCATGTACACGCGTATTTTGCTATTTTTAGCATTGTTCTTAATATTAGGCGTACTCTCGTAGGAGATTAAATTGTCAGCAAAACTCAAAGATCTATCAGTTCTTTGAATTGAGCCTATAGTGTAGGGAGTTTTTGGTGACCGCTAGCTTTGACTTTAGATCTCTGATGGAATGAGTTGGCTTCGACTGGAAGTGAAGTTTTGAGGTTTGCACATCTTAATTCAATTGTGATACATTTGATTGTGTATGTGTGTGAGTGACATGCCAACGATGTAGGTTGTATGACGATACATATTTGCACGACATCATTCATAGCTACTTGATGTTCGATCATTTTAGTTGCTATAATGATCAACTATGGATTTGTCTGGAATTTTAAAGAAGCAAGTAATACAACATAGTACCAACGTTAAAAAAATACTAGTAAATTCTATCAAGCTTCACAATAGATTAGAATATCATCTTGCTTTGCTTTAGTGCTTAATTTATTGGTTTGTCTTTACTTGAGGTTGAAAATATCTACGCTTTACAATGATATGATCTCGTTGTACTACTTGCTAGAAAGCTCAACTTGCAGTTACTTCCATAGCAATTGCATGGTTTCAAGCCTTGTTTAGCAAACTTAAACTTTGGACTCTCTTCACAATACTTAACCTCAGCTTTATGATAGAGATATCATTCTATCTTGTGTCATTTTATTGCATACCTAATGCCTTTGATGTTATCATTTGTGATGGATCAAGCCTTTAATTTTTTTAAATGTAAAAAGTTTTGATAGTCAAAGTATTTGAAAGTATGTCAAAATCATTAATAAACATAATAATACTAAAAAAAAATTATATTTATATTATTATGAAAAAAAATCATCATGTTTTTTTATATATATATGCATCTTATTATTATTTTAAGACTTCTACTATATCTTACTTGAGATTTTGATAACAAGTATATAAAATTCATTCTTCTATTGGCACAAGGTCACGGAGACATCAAAAAACCAATAATCAATTTTCATGTAAATTTTTTATTAAATGTATATCATTATAGGCTTCATTCTTTCAACAAATATTCAATATTCAAATTATGTTCAACAATAAAAAGTGTTGTTTCAATGTTTGAGTTGACATCAATCCAAGTTCTTGATACAAATAAATAAGTTTTTCTAAATTGTTCAAGACATCGATCTTCATTAACCTGAACGGAATATTTGCTAATATTTATTATTCATTTATACAGATTGAACTCATACATAGTATTGTGCTCCAAAAATTCATTATTCATGTTTGTTACTGTACTAGTTTGGTTTCGTTGGCATGTTCAACCAGAAATTAAAAACACGCCCTAGGCACACAAATGGAATTTAGAAGTTGTGCAGGTCATATTATAGGATTAACAAATGAACAAAGTGGAAGGAATGCTTATTTGAGAGCTCTAATTTTTACTTAATTTACTTATGTTCACAACTCAAGAAACGATGTAAATTTCATAGGGTTGATATCAATCAATAACTTGACAACTACTTTGAAGATGTTAAGAGATGTTTTTTAAGACATCGAGATCAAATTAAATAAGGTAGGATTAGAAATCCTTTGGAACTATACTGCATTGAATATGTCTAAAATAAAGATCATTGTCTATTTAACATGATTTTTTTTCATGTTTTTTTTCAAAAAAATATTGATAAAAAATCAATTTGATTTTTATAAAATTGTATAATTACATATATTTGAACTTCTTTAAAATTTAAATTACATTTACCTATTCTTTATTTCTTAATCTTGTTCTAGAGAAATCAAATTTTTTTTGTTAATGATGATATAAATTTTGTTCTCTTTTGACAATAAATAAAATATTTTTCATCATTTTTTTATGATAAATACTTTCAAGTTTTCATTAAAGTATTTATTTGTGTTAAAAATCAGTTTTTGTGTAAGTGAATATGTTGTTGTCAAATTTCAGTCTTATATTCAAACAAAATTCCAAATATATGTTTTAATAATTTCATTATAAATAGAAAATCAAATATTTGTGATGAATTTGATGAACAAAATTTTACAAGATACATCTAAACAGCAAATTATCAAGTTTTTGTACCTTGATAACCTACAAATTTTTATTTTAAGTATGCACTTTCAACATTTATTTACACAGTAAAGAATTTATTATTTGATATCTAATCTGAAGTGGAAATCTAAATCATAATTCTGATTAAAAAAATTTCATATTTATATTAGATTCATCATATAACATATGATACAATTTGTTATAAAATCAATTAATTTTTTTTCAAACATGATATTCATTTCATGTAATTTGATAATGAAATCAATCATTAAGATTAGAGGTTCATACACTCAAAATATGACAGTATTTTTCATCGATACAGATTTTTTTATCATGAATATTACATGTTCATTTTATAATTAAAAAATTTCAAGTGAATCGCAAAAAAACGTGACATAAATGAAAAAAATTTAATCATCACAAAATTGATTTCAACTATCAATTATACAAATTTTTTTAAAGAAGACATTTTGGTTAAAAAACAGGATAAAAATGCAATTATTTTAGACCTACAAAAATGTAAACCTAAAATTGATTAGAAAATCCACAATACTACATTGGTTTCAATTGATGTATATGACACTTTATAAGCATTGAAGATCTGAGATAATTCTATCATGATTTACAATAACTTAGAACAAAGTATCTTTGATTGATGCCAATATGTAACATGTTAGAAGAAAGAAGATATTACTGCACATCAAAAAAACAATTTGAGTTGCTGACTAGTTTGATACTTGTTAGTTATTATTTGTTATGTGTAATGAGATGATTAAAAAAGCAATTTTTTTTGTAAATAAAGTTTTGATTAGGTTATCCATGTTTTACAATCCACAAGCATATTGTAGCTACATTAAAGTTAAAAATGGGATGGAAGAAGTAAAAGATATGTGTAATTGACATCAATCTGAAACTTGAACAATCTGTTTACAGTACATGAACTCAAGTTTACATCATATCAAGTCCAATGAAACAAAAATGATAGATGATGTAACTTTCAAATTATGTTACGTATGATGTTTTTATGTTGAATAGATACATGATAAAAGTCATAGATTGTATTAGGTAGATGCTTTACACCTTAGGCGTTATCCCTTGAGTCGATCTACCAACAAGTTTTTATTGGTTATAGGGGAACCATGTTTTATAGGTGCTGGATACGAAAACTCAATTGTACAATTGATCTACTATGTACATGACTCTCTAAATACGGCAAATACGGAACTTGAGGGCCAAAGTGCCGTATTTCATTTTCAGAAAGTTACGTATTTCCAACAAAAAAGTCTTTGTTATCTAGGTGTCTTTACCAGAGAAACTAACAGAGTCACCCAACTAAAACTTTGGGGTGAACATTTTTGACAATATCTTTGTTGATCTAGGTGATTTTACTAGAGAAACTAACTTAAATATTCAGCTAAATCTTTTACGTGATCGTTTATGACAATTTCTTTGTTCATCTCGGTGACTTTACTAGACAAACTGAGTAACTTACTAAAACTTTGCGGCGACATATGATGAGTTCAACCAAGCAAGTTCTAGTATTTTGTTTCTTTCTTACCTTAGTAACTTGTAGCTTTGAAAACACAAAAAATTATTCAACTAGTTCCAAAATATCAAGATAGTCTCAAACTTTCTTGGAAACAAAAGTACATAGATAAAATAGTGAACCTAGAACATCGACTTTGTAATGTTCGGGGTTGAAAAATCTGTTGATTGAAAAATCTGATTCTAGGTTTAGAAGAATAGATTTCTTCAACTCATGGAGTTTTTCCTAAGATTAGTTTGACCATTTTCGAACATTTCAACGGTGTGGAGAGTGATTTCTCCGTGGTAAAATGGGAAAATAATATTCAGATATAACACCCATTTCTCTCGAAGGCGTATTACATTGCCGACAATATTCGGCCGAAAAACTATCAAGTTCCATATACATATTCCGTATTTTGATTTGAGAATTATCATAATTTTGTTAAGATAAGGAACATACAAAATCGGCCCTATATAGAGAGGCTATGTATTGGTAAAGTTGTCACTGTTTGCATTCCGAGAAAAAAACATTTGTTTCTTGTTCGGTGTGTACTGAGAACACAGTTGTTGTCATTGAATATTACCAACAACTATTTCATGAAATCGCCCAAATCGGCGGGAACAAAATTACGAAATCCTGGGAAGAACTCAATACCCTCCAACCCTTCCTCCTGACTTGATTGCAAGCGATATTCCACATCCGAAGGGCAGAAAACCGATCGTCAAAAGTTGAGTCACCAATGGCAGTAGAACTCGAAAGAAATAGACCACCACCACCACTTATGATATGATTTCACGGGAAAAGCTTAGCACGATTTCCGGCTTAAGAAGCTGGTAGCGCTGCACAAGAATTGAGTGCGAAGCTGGAGAAGAAAGTTGCAGTTATGCAGAATGGCCAAGGGAAAGGGAAAGGAAGGGGAAGAGGAAGAGGGAGGGGCACCAATCAAGAAGCGGAATCGAAAGGCATGTGATCCCTCGGCCTTCCGATGAATGCGACGCGTGCGCCAACGGATCCTCGGTCGTCGATCCGGCGCCTTAGTGTTGCGCTCAGGTGCGCGGGCGGGCGGGCAGCGGCGACCTCTGGGTCCTCCCTCTCCCGGCGACGCGACCGCGCGACTGCAAAAGCCGTTGCGGGGGCTCGCATGCGGAGGGAATGTCTGCGGTGCGAGAGAGGGCGACCGTTTTGGTTGCGACGCCTCGTCCCCTTCCTCTCCCTCGTTCCCTCGTTCCGTGTCGGAGGATAAAACCTTTGGAGACATGCCGTGCCCGCTGTGCAAGTCTATTCTTGTCGTTGTACTCGGTGCCTCTCCCTCGCTTTTCCACTTCTCGCTGGTGCACCACTTTCTTGCTTGACCTGCCAGGCGGCGACTCAGTTGTGTCGCCTAGCTTGAAAGCGATAGTTTGGTTCCGGTCAATCTGATCGTGGCAGAGAAGAGAGAGAGAGAAGGATGAGGGATGCGGAGATGGAGACGGCGCAGGCTGCCGGAGGCGAGGTAGAAGGGGGGGAGCAGAATGGAGGATCGGCGGAGCACGTAGCAAATGGTAGCCGGAGTAAGGCTGTGCACCAGGGCGTGAGCTTCAGCCACGTGAAGCCGCATCTCGTTATTCAAGCCCCTAAAGCTTCGGAGGCGATCGTGTTCTATAAAGCGGCCTTTGGAGCGGAAGAAGTGACCAAGACCCTCCATGCCAAGCGGAAGGCTGAGCAAGAGCAGCCTCTTGTTCTGCATGCACACCTCAAGTTTGGCGACGCCGAGATTCTGATTATTGACGAAGCCGAGGAAAGTGGAAACACGTACGTTTCGCGTCATTCGTATGTTCATACTGTTTATCTTGCCGGCTCGAACGTCGTTCATATGCAAAAGTTCATCCACATTTATCGTTCATGAGCGGAACTTCCGAGCTTGTTGGGATGGATCTTTTCTTGAAAAGAATTTCGTACGATTTTGTCCTGGCAGTATGGCGGGCATTACTTTGCCCCGTCCGTATGGTCGTCTCACGATGATACCGAGTGCAGGGATCATTGTAGATTTTCTTGAGAGTCGAAGAGTTTGATGTTTCTGATCATTGGCACGCTGTTCTTGCGTGCCGTAGAATTTCTTTCGAGTAGAACAATATCACGGACATGCTCTGAGGGGTCGTGGGCTACTTTTGTTGTCCGTGTCTCGTGTCTTCTCTCATCACGAGGCCACTCAACCATGTAAGATAGTTGAGAGACATTGCGCCGGCGGCTTCAGTAACGTGAGACGTCAGCAGCATTTACGACGACATTTTAGACAGATTGCATGCTAGCGTTGGGCAAGTCTATATTTCGAAACGTCTCCAAGTATTGGAATCTCGTCATTTACCTCATTCTCCCGGACCTCTGTGAAGACTTGCTCGAATGTCGGAACGAGAACGAGTGTGAATTTTCAAAGAAGGAATTGCAACATCTGTCTGTTCCTAAATGTGGTATCATCTCCGTTCTCCGAGATGACGCTCGAACGCGCGGTGCGCATGGGTGTCGCGCTGTACTCTTTTTCGGCATCCCACTGACCGTACTCTTCGTTCTTGGTTTCTTGCAGCGTGAAATCTACATCCTCGCTGAACGGCACATCCATGATACTTCACATGGAAACGTCCGATGTCGAGACAGCCTTCTCTAGGGCCATAGAGGCAGGTGCTACCGTGTCGGAGCAGATAGCAGACCGACCTTGGGGGCAAAGATGCGGGAAACTCGTGGATCCGTATGGCTTCGTATGGAGCCTTGCATCTCCTCTTGCCCCGGAGGAACCATCCGTGATTATCACTGAAGAAGCCGTCGAGGCAGGACAGGCAGCCTAGAGGCTGTACAGATCTGCTAGAGGAGATTTCGAAGGCGAACCCCATACTTTCGTGATCCGTCGGAGACAGCCGAAGGAACTGACGTTATGGTATCCGTGAGACCCAAGACAGCAATTTGACACGACCGGCTCGACACCCTCGCGCATGAGTGCATGTACCGTGTTGAGAGGCGCAGTGCGTGGAAGTCAGCACAATGCTAGAATAGTTCCGAGACGAGCACTTTCACGGCTGTAGATCGTGGAGTGACTCGTTCTCCGTGGACCTGTGAACTTGGAAAGTCTTATAAAATTCACTTCGTTGTTTCGGTCTCGTGGAAACTTCTGACCATTAGCATGTTTGTTTCTTCGAGGTTCAGCCAGTCGCCAGTCGCCAGTCGCCAGTCGTCCGTTATATTCTCGACTTGCTCTCTGCTTTTCTGCGTGTCTTCCCTCTTTGCATCGTCGTCATGTCGGTGTATGTCGGTCTTACTTCTTGATGTATACTCTTGTTGTTCTCAAGAGGCAAGAGTAGGACACCAGCACGAGAAATCATTCTACATCAATCCAATCACTCTCGTCGAAAGCATTTCAGAGCTACAAGAGCCCAAAAGAGTTCGTCTGGACTTCACATCGGGAGAATCAAATCGCAACGAACACGATGCCTTCTTTTACTGTGTCTGCAGAAAAGAATGCGACGAACGTCGACAATGTGACGATTTCCTTGCAATTCTATTCAGCTCTCTCACCGAAGGTATAGAATATCTGCAGTTCCTTTCGAGACGTAAGATCATAAGTGGAAGAAGGTTATCCGACCAGAATCTACGCAGCAGACAGGAAATGGGTGATTGCAAAGTTGCAGGTCTACTATAAGAATGAATAGTATACTTGACACTTGGCATTGAGGATGTCAATAAGTCTTAATTGAAGCTTGTACTTAAAACTTCATCGACAGGCCAATCTAGCAGATCGGGAGATATATCCGAACCGGATGACCTCCATCCGGGCATTGTAATCATTGCGAAGATCTTATGAAATCAGAGCACTGCGAAGCTGACTGCGTCACATGCAACAATTCGCCCCATCGCTCTCTCGTGGTCCAGGCCAATAGTGGGTCTGATCTCGTCACTCCATATGTGCGGATGATGCAGGATCGCTCGAGAAATTCCCAGTACGGTGTCGATGAGACCGGCCTGACTGCGCACATCTGTACGTCCGTATCATACCATGCCATGACGTGAGGTAATAGCCGTTACGTGGGTGAAGTTGAATGCCGAAGGAGGGCGGGAGTGGACGATGGCGGGGAGGAAGATGCTCGGAAAGGATTGCAGCGAAGTGCGTCGGTGTGGGCAAGCGAGGTAGGAGGGAGGGGGCGCTTCGGTGCAGGGGCTCAAGGGCAGCGAGCGTCGAGCTCTGAGCATTAAATTCGTACAACCTCGCTGTGCCGAACCGCAGGAACAACATCGTCATTTCACTTCCGCGAGTGGAGGAGCGATGGCAGAACGCGCAGGATGCACTGATCGACGTGCGAGAGTGACGAGTCCGGGCGTTCCGAGCACCCAACAGATCCAGGCAGTCCTGCAGTTTGTTCGCTCCAGCCAGTCTCGATCATTCGTTCCCTGGGAACCCTACTCGGTGGATCTAGGAGCGGGCTGGCTCGGGTATATTATCTGTACCATGACATAGGAGGCTTCACCTTGCTGCGTACCGCTGATCATTTCCAAACACTTACATGGTTCTAGCTACAATAATGTCTGATCATTGTGCACCGTCGGAAGTTTGAGTGTCAAAGCTCCAACTTCATCTTCGTGACAAGGAAGAGTCTTAACGCGGCAAAATCTTTGCTGGATGATGAATGGTGGTGGTGATGAATGATAACAATGTCCTACAAGATTAAGAAGTGGAAGAAGGAATTTGGCAACTAGATCTCTACCCAAAGGATTCTAAAATCACTGCGACCCGAACTTCAGAATGTAGCAAAAATTGAACGCTTCTTTCATCAATGGTTCCGATCTGGGTGGAATCATGTGTAGCTCCTGTGGAAATAAGGGGAAACGCATCACAGACTCCAGATTAATCGTCGACACGGATGAGAGTTGTTCTGATTCTGAATCCTTGTGATGTTTGGTGGTCACGAATGAGCACGAAATGAGGCTTGGACCGCCAGCGAGCACAAGGATTCTGACTGGCCTGCAGTAGTCAGTGCTTGAGACAACTAATTTGCAAAGCATTGAAGCGTGCTTTAGAGTACTAGAGTAAGGGTAATAGTGTTGATTATCATCACTAGTCGCAACTTTATCACTTCATAAGTTGCATGCAGACCAACATTACTGTGCAGTCGACGAAAGACGCTCGACCTCTTATGTCCCCATCGCGTCATTCTCCCCGTTCCCGCCGACAGGACAGTTCTACGTTTGAAACTCAACCCCGAGCTCTTAATGCTGTGACCTGACCGGAGTCCCTGGTTTGTACTGGGCTATGATCGAGAGAAACTGCTACAACTCCAAAGTCTCTAACGAATTTTCCAAACGCCGTCTGTAGTAGATCTCGAAAGGTCTATAACCAGACCTCTCTATATAGGGCGGATTCAGTATGTTCCGTATCTCAATAAAATAAGGACGATTCTCAAATCAAAATATGGAATGTACAAAACTTGATAGTTTTTGACCGAATTTGTCGGCAATGTAATAGGCCTTCGAGAGAAATGGGTGCTATCTTTGATCTCTGAATATACTTTTCCCATTTTAGAACGGAGAAATTGCTCTCCACAACTTTGAAGTGTTCGAAAATGGTCAAACTAATTATACTAAAAACTCCATGAGTTGAAAAAATCTATTCTTCTAAACCTGGAATCAGACTTTTCAGTCAACAGACTTTCGTGAACGTTCTGGGTTCACTATATTATCAATGTCATTTTGTTTCTAAGAAATTTTGAGACTATCTTGATATTTTAGAACTAGTTGAATAATTTTTTTGTTTTTTCAAAGCTACAACTTAGTGGGGGTAAGCAAGGAAAAGAAATACTAGAACTTGCTTAGTTGAATTCATCAGGTGTCGAGTACTCAGTTAGTTTATCTAGTAAAATCACCGAGATGAACAAAGAAATTGTCACAAAACATCACGAAAAAGATTTAGCTGTATATTTAAGTTAGTTTCTCCGGTAAAGACACCTAGACAACAAAGACTTTTTTTTTTGGAAATACGGAACTTTCTGGAAACGAAATATGGCACTCAAGTTCCGTATTTAGAGAAGCCTGTCTGTAACCGAATCCAAGCACGGAGCAATAAAAGAATGTGCGTTTTACGACAATGGGTCTGAGGAATTTACTGAGAGGATCTGATGAGAAAGGGGAGACCTTTGGGTCGGTCTTGCACTTGTCACAAGAATCCCAACCCTGGGCCCGATCGCTTAATCGCATCTACTCTCGAGCAATGAAAGAAGTTCACACAGTGGTGGTGTGCACTGTGTGATCGGGCCCAGGGTTGGGCCCGATCGCTTAATCGCATCTACTCTCGAGCAATGAAAGAAGTTCACACAGTGCACACCACCACGTGAGTATGTATAAGCTTTTGGAGGCAATGGCCATGTACGTCAGAGGACATAGAAAATTACAATCAGAATGGGACAACCCCATTCGTCTTATGCACATAGGGACTGTAGCGCCTGGACGAGTGACGAGTGACATCCAATTCCAGAGCGCATAAAAATGGACACAATCCAGGGGAATTTTCCTCCACTTTTTGGCAGAAGACCTAGTGCTAAAGAAAAAACTCGTGAGACCCCATCCAGTCCTACGAGGATGAAACCGAGCGGCTAGTCTGGCACTAGCCTGAAAACTCCATATCACTCCGTATAACATCCAAAGGAGTAGAGAACTTGTGTTGGCCCCTTATGGTTTACACCCTCTCGCAGTGTTGGTGCGTGAGGTGTGGCTTTTATCACTTTTGGCGCTTTTATTTTCCTTGTTCGGTTAGAGGGCCTCTCTATATTTTTCTATTTGCTCATTTGCTTGTCCTCGGGCAAAATGCGTCAGAGCAAGAGAGAGCGGACGAGCTCCTCATACGTCCCTTTATTATACTTATATCAATACATACCTTATCCATGTCTAAGTAATATACTCTTATTGTATCACACGGTACATGTTATGAGCCCGTGGACGGGGCGGGAACCGAAACGGGTGGATTGGACTGGAGCTTGGAGGAATTGGTTACTGTGAGGCTTTTTCCTGGCAAGCTCACTCACTGCACTACATAGTGTATATGTATACGGAGCGGCCGTAGGTCCAAATGTTGGCTGTAGTATGGATCCAATTAGTGGAAGAACTACGGCACATCGGTACATGCGCTCGTCGCGGAGGCGGGTAAGAGTGGAGTCCGCTGGATTCGATTGGTTTCTGACAGCCAGGTCTCGGATTGGGGTCCAGGACCCGGACTTCAAGTTTCGTGCGTATGTGCATTTCTTCGTATCGCCTCGTCGAGGATTGCGTTCGAGACTTTCTACATAGCCAGCGAGTGCAAGAACCTGAAGGGTTTTGTAGAGAGTGATTACGAAAGTGCATGAACTGCAGTATGGTACTCTTATGCAAAAGACTGCTGTTTTCATCAGGAAATGTCGAAGTACAAAAATGAAGTAGATGTGAATAGCCCATGAGATACAGGACATCACAATGAGACTATATTCCAATACCATCAATGGGGTTAGCTTTGCTTTCAACACGTGATATGTAAATGTTATCTAGGTGAAACATGTCATGTAAAGAATTAATAAATAGCTAAATCACATTATCATGGATTATAATAGTCATGACTATATGTAGAAAATGCAACCAGGATCATACAACAAAGTTCAGAGATTGATACCCATGGAAGAAGATGAAATGTTGGAATAAAAACATATACAAAAAGTTAATATTCTTAGAACAACAATTTGTAAAACTCTATTTTTTGACTTGTATAATACTATTTGACTATGTATAATATCTAGATGGTCGTGTGTAGGAGATCTCTGCAAACCAGCCAGACTGAAAAAAATGTAGATACAATCCAAGCATAAAGCAGATCAACAACGTCGGGAGTTAATCCTTACACTCCAAATTAATCAACGAATAATAAGGACACATGAATAGTAGCTAAACGCTGCCATGCATAAAACCAAACCTCTAATCCACGATGGACGCAGTTTTTATGTCGTTCGAGGGGACGCCCTTTTTCTACGAAGCTTCGTACCATCTGGCACTCAATAGCCTTGTGCCGCCAAAGCGTTGCACGACCGATTTGCCTCTGCGAGCCATTAAGTCTCCTCGAACGCTGCAATCCACCACTACACGACAACGTACTCTGCGCAGACTGTGGCAAATTCAATCGTATCATCGATCAGCAAGGAAAGAAGGACAACAACGCATCCTCCCCGCCTGGATCCTGCCTGAGTCCCGGTCGACTTCTCAGCAGTCTCGGGAATCCGTCACGCGCAGAGACTAAATTCCGTCTTCCGCATTGGACATGGTTGAGTACCGTCACTTGAGCAGGCATGCCATCAACCCTCGCGGAAGTGTCATGGCCTTTTGCAGCAGCAACAAGTGGCACTTGGTGTACCTGTACTGCCTCTTGAGTTGCCTCGTACACATCCTCAAGATGCGGGGATTCTACTCTCTCCTGATCCAGAATGAGATCGAAGACTCGCGATTTCAAACCTTGATTTCAAGCTTTAGCCAGAGATAAAATGAGCAGCAGATATAATCGGAGCTGTCGATGACTGATCGGAATTCGTCGAGACCAACATGTCAACGTCAGACGTGGACAATAGCCACGTGTCGAGAGTTGAGAAGGAAGAAGCGGACCACCCGTCGACTTCAGGGCAGTCTGCCAAGTGGATTCTTCTGACACGTGGGTCTAGAGGGTCGTCCGACGAGGACGAGGTGGAGCCTTCGAGGACAAATGCTCCCGATAGGAGTAGGGTTCAATGTTGGAGGGAGCGCCAGAGGCCGACCCTGCCCTCGTCCTGCTTGTGCTGCGTTGCATGTCCGCGAGGTAGAAGAAGGAGAAACCAGGAGGAGCTGGAGGTTGTGCACGTTGACGACGAGCAGAGAAGGGAATGATGGCGACCATGACGAGTTTGAGCACGAGATGCGTCTACTCTGAGTTGGTCCGGGGTCCCCCTCGACGTTGGGCTGTTGGTAGTGGAGGAACGCAGATGTCCATGTGCAGAGGTTTCCGGACACAGGGCTTAGGGCAGTCGAACGAGTTCAGACATGTGGGATCAGAAGTAAAATTTGTTAGCAATGGCCAGGCCCGAAGAGCAGGGATTGCTCGTTTTGTAGCCAATGCTGGTGTTGAAAAGGTTGGATTCGGCGACGGTGGAGGGAATATAGGTGGAAATGCAGGGGGTCGTGGAGGAGGTGGAGATTCCGGGGACGATCTTAGGGGCAATTCCGGGGACGGTTCTAGTCAGGGATTTGGCTCCATGCTCTGGACATGGTTAGTTGCATACGTTCAACCTTTGTCTGTTTCATTTTTTTCATCTGAGAAGGTCTGTTAGTTACAAATTAGTCAGAGTATACTTTCATACCGTATCCTCTTGTAGTGTTACTGATATCTCGTTGCTGCTATTCAGATGTATTTTGCATTTCGAATTGGTCTTAATGTAATCACAAACCAGCTCCGTCACTCTTGTCTGCAGTCTTTCCAGTACTGTGTTGTACCTACTCATTCTCGTTTTGACAGGTACAATAGAATGCTGGAAAATCATCCACTTATAGCAAAGAGCCTTACGTCTGCTCTTTTGAACGCTATTGCAGATTATTTCTGCCAGGTACGACAGATCCATCAATTCCCCTCCTTGGAAGGGACTGAACTTCATTATCTTGGTGGCCTTTAAGATAGAATGAGTTCAGTAGATAAAATTTTCCTTGCTTTTTATTTTTATTTGAATGTAATTCGATTTCCTTCAATAACGAGCTTCAGGTTGTTGTCCGAAATTCTAGGTTTTCGTTGAGAAACTTGAGAAGGTTGATTGGAAACGATTCTGGTCTTTCGTGGCAATTGGGCTTTTCCTCAGTGGCCCTGGGCTTCATTACTGGTATGTTTGTTTGATCGTTGACATGGATCGAATTTATGTCTTCTCTTTTCTTATCCAGAGAGGTATATGTAGTATCTGAACACGTTTGTACGTGAAGAGGAGTGTCGGACATTGTTACTTGTGTTGTTTGTTAAACAAGCTGACAAGTTTAACCCTCTTAGTATCTTTCTTGGGCAATTGTAAATCTATTGTTTTCTTTGAAGATGTTCTGGCTTTTTTCCTGCTTTGCTAATGGGTCTTCGCAACTAACGAGCTTTTTCATCTGCTTAGGTACGGAGCACTTCCGAAAATCATCACAGTCCCTGGACTTGGAGGTGTACTATTAAGAATAGGCCTCGACCAAGTAAGTCCGATTACTCAATTTTTAACCATGTCTGTATCATTTGTATGTTCCAGAATATATGATAGAGTACTATGTCTAGAATACAAAGCAACAGCAATGATAATTATTTGACTACGAAACCGCAGTCATGTTGGTCATGTGTTCATATGCTTTCAAGGCTACATCCATCTAATTTTTGTTGCTACTGGGCAGATTCTTTTCACTCCTTTAGGAATGTTGAGTTTCTTCGTCGTACTTCTCACTCTCGAGAATCGCCAGGATCAAATACAGCGAAAGTTGGAGAAGGTAACTCTTACATTGCCTGAAACACAACTCTGTGAGCATGATCTGAAATCTCATGTTTCTACCTTACTTGAGAAGCCAAATTTTCAATCACTAAGCTTATAAAATTGCTTTCTCTAAGTGTGATTTGAAAATGGTCAATTTGGCAGGATTGGTGGCCCACTGTTGTTGCGAATTGGAAGGTCTGGATACCATTTCAGATTGTAAATTTCTCAATGGTTCCACCTCAACTTCAGGTGTGTGGACTGTGATCAAATACCTACTCATTAAACGTTACCAGTCATGGTTGTTGTTGTAGTTTACTTGTCTTGTCTCTGCATGCTCTAAATGTTTCATGAAGATGCTCCATTCATTATCAACGCATGTCCTTGTTGTATTCAGTCGTCCATGTTTGCATTCCTGTATCTCTCTAAATCCTCATAAGTTTGACCGATATCTGACAACTTCTCATCAAACGTAGTTCTAAGCCCTCTGAGGAGTATTCGCGTCATCACGGTTTAGAAACCATATTAGCAGATTGAAGACCGTAATGCAAAGTTATTCATCAATTGCCTCGGGTAATGCAGGTACCTGCAGCTGGATTGTTGGGAATGGTGTGGAGCGTTTTTATCTCATACAAAGGCCATACTTGATTATTCTTTCAGCATGGGCCTACCGGCGAAAGCGAACGTTGGGAGGGCCACCTTGTGAGTCAACAAGAGGTGTTGTCATCAGCAGAAGGCTAACCTTGTTGGGAATAAACGAGTAAAGATGAACCTGCATGTTTTACAGTGGAAGAACTAAGTTGGCCGTGCGAAAGGATATCTATCTCGAAGCAACACCGATCCAAGACACTTGCATGTCCTATCTGGACACCAAGCCTCCCTTACCGATCTAGGAGGTTTATCTCAGTGGGTGGAGAAATTTGCTTATAATCGCTCAACCTTCGCAAGGATAGATATAGATGTCAAAGTAAATTCATCACCTCCTCTCTCAAGGGAAAGAAGAAAGTTGTAGGAACTGGTTGTGACTGTACCTTTTTGATTGTAGACGTATCGACCAAGGATATCGCGGATCATGGAGGAAACGTAGGAAGTGTTCCTCCAAGCTGATTTGAGTGTTCACATCGTGATTTTTTTAGTTAGATCATTTTTTGTTACTCATCATTGTACCGTGTAAAGGCTTTTTCCACCAACCGGGTGTCGATATCAGCCTGTGCGTGTCTTGTACACGCTGATATCAATGTAGAATGTATCATTGTTGTAATATTCGAAGATGAGTCTTGTTTAATTCGAGACATCTGATATAAGTACTGAATTTGTTGCTTTCATTTTTTCATTTATTTTCGTGCCTGACAGTTTGCGATGAAGGGGAGCCCAAGTTTGCTTGTTTGTATTTGTCAAAAATGATGACCACCTTCTATTACATCATAATTACAACGAGACCCCGGACAGCACCCAGGTAGACGACCTCCGACAACAGAGTAGCTACAGCGAGAGTCGCTTCCGCTACTTTACAAAAATGTCCTACATGCACAGCGCGTAACAAAAGTTCATAGGAGGGTGGTTAAACTGAGACACAAAAGTGCCCGAGAGGCAAGTGGGATGAGGAAGGTGATTTTCTGTATGGAAATTTTGGTAAAATTGGATAAATCTAAATGAATACAGGCATGATGATTCGTGTACCTATGGGATGATGAAGGATATTTACTGTATAGAATTTTGGGAGAAATTGGGTATATCCTGCCGAGGACAACATGGTGATCCTTGTACCGTCAAACATTTAGCCTCTTGTGTTGGACCTCGCGAACTAATTCTGCCCTGGACGTTAGATATATGAAATACCAACAGCAATTTGAACTACTACTGTGACGTCTCTCAAAATTCTCACCTCAGAATCACATTCGGTAAGAAAAGTATCAATCTATCCGATAGTCTCGGTTCACTTTCTCCGCTACATCTCAGTCACAATGAGAGTTGATTATCAATTAGGACAATAGTCAAATGACGAGTGAAGAGATTGAGTTCACGTAGAAGTGCCATGTTGTTTAGGGTTTGATGATGTTGCATCTGGGCAGATCGAGTTGTTCCCTTAATTTTCACAGTCTAACAGTTGCAGAGGAAGAAGATCGTGGTGGATAAAGGGGTCCTTCTATTTGATGTATACAGTGCTAGTGGGATACTATATCAAACCAGAGAGCGTCTGACCAAAATAATTTCTCCTTTTTCCCGACTGTTTTTCGATTTAGGATTTAGGACGCGTATGGATCATGATTACCTCTGTCTCCAAACGAAGATTCAGAAACTAACAAATTTTCCTCGTGTGAGGGGTAATAGGGGTAATTCCTTAACACAAATCATTCCAAACAAATATAAATAAAAAACGTGATCGTAATCTTGCAAGGCACTTCGAAAAAGAGTATAACTTGTTTCACCGAAATACAAACTATTTCACATAACTTGTCAATAGATATTTCGTATAAAGGCCTTGAATATTTAACACAACAGTATTGTCTTTTACGACAAGTTTGCCTGCCCACTTAGGGAATGGATGTGCGAGGAAGCTTGATCCAACAGTTGAGCCACGAAATGGAGGAAATACAGAGTCGGGAAAAGGCCACGCTTCTGTTCGCCAGGGAGTTGAAGTCGGATGGGTAGGGGTAATGTATGAGATTCGGTAGATACAACCGCCCAAGCTGATTCCACACCATCAGAGGTCACTGTACAGTGGATTAAGTCTGTACCTGCCGCAACCGCCGGTTCATTGTAGACCCAACCGGTTGTGGTTTCCGAGCCAACACCGGAACAGCGATGATAGTCCACGACACGCCAGTCGACTTACGACCCAAGTTGATAAGGTCAAAAAAGTCCCATACGACATCGGTTGTAATCTCATGCTCGATCTCTCGTACGTCCGTGAATGTCCTCAACAAATAAAAGATTCACAAAGAAAGAATTTTTTTGGGTACAATCATGACCAAGTTTCCAATTTGCTGCTTTCGATCTTCTAGAGGCACCCTACTTGACAACATGCATTAAACCACAGCTCCTACTTCTCTCGTTTGGCTCAAGTTGCTGTGGCTCTCGTACGCCCTCTCTAAAACAACAAGACACGCCCCAACAACGCTTGCACTCGGAGCACCGTGGCCGAGTTTTAGGCTTGGAAGTTTCCTCTAGAATATCTTATCTGAAGATGAGAACATTAAACACTTTGGAGGTCGTGTGAGTGTGAGGATGAGTAGCAACGAGAAAGGTTCCTTGGGGCGACCCTCTCCTGTCCTTTGGGCACAAGCTTTTCGTAGCAAAATCCTCGAGGACTCCTTTCGTTCGGTCCACCGCACACGACAAACCCCATACCGATCTGCATGAATCTGGTTCTATGGCCGCTTGCTGAGCCTTTCCCTCGTCTAGCAGTCCCAGTTTCTCTTGCTTCTGTCCCATCCCTCCCCGTCGTCCTCCTTGGATCTTCCTCCTTCGCTCGCGTCCTTCATTTCCAACACTCCATCTGCGGCCCTGACCCTGTTTCTTGATCCTTGCTCATTCTCTGTCGGCATCTGGGGATTATCTCTCCACATTGGACGCCATTCAGCAAAGCGACGCATCTCCTGGAGTTGACCAGCTCCGCTCATTTACTGTGGTCAGAGGGCATCGACACCGCCATTGACCGCATACGGCACCAGCAGCGACAAACCACGAGGATGAGAATTTGCCCGCCGGTTCCCGGTTGCAGAATCGCCGGTTCTTGCGCTGCGGGCCTCGAGACAGTCGGTAGCCGCGCAGGGTAGACAAGCCGAGGCCCGGGCGACTTTGCTCGAAATTTCGAACCTCATTGACGACCATATGCCTCTGGACTCCCCCGCTTCGCATGCGGCGTCGAGGAGGACAATACTGTATCACACGAAAAAGGACCCTACCATGTTGCGTTGCCGTGGTACCCGACGACAGCATTGACCTACGGCCGGCCAAACCCTCTATTTCAGCTCCATTGAGGTAGGTCGTATGATTTCAGTGCTTCAGTTTTGTTTTGTTCGGCCCGCGGCCCGCGGGAACCACCTTTATTTCGTCCACCTTTGTTTCAACCGGCGGTTTCGTCTTTCATTTTAGTACTCTAGAAAGTATGTAAATCTTACGAATGGTATGCATTTTAATGAATATTCTTACATTTAATGAACTATTCTTCTATACTTCCTAGATTGTGGTGTTAAGAATCTAAGTTTGAAAGGATTGAGATACTCTTTTGTAAATGATGATAATTGGACAAAGGAGTCGTTTTCAAGAACATACGATGATTAATAATTAGTAACTTTCATTGCATTGGATTTCACTTGGAATGAAGATTTGTTGGAAAGTTATCTACATCTGAAAATATATATGAAATTATCTGCAATTTGCATCTATATATGTTCCATGTCATTGTTTAGACACGGAATATATCAAATTTCATGTAAATCAAAATACAGCTTACACACATTCCCACAAAACTAGAACACCTAGTTGACGTTGTCATTCAATTTGTGATCCTACGATGAACTTACTCTCACATATCAATTTTAGATAAAAAAAAATCATGAAATCAGAATTTCAGTCTAAATTTAAATTAAAATATATAACTTGACCATTTAAAACGATGATCTCACTATTTTTAAAGTATTGGTTTCTGATTTAAAAATAATTCATACAATAGAATGAAATTCATACTATCTGTGAAAAAAAATTCATTAATTTGCACTATTTAAATATTCTATTCTAAAATTAATTGGTCTCAAAACATGATACATGAAAAACATGAATGAAAAATTGCATACCTTATACATGTGGTTTAAGTATTTGATACTATGTGAAAAAATAGATATGCTATCAATTAACTCTTTCTAGATAATTGTGTTAAATTTTTTTGAATAAATCTAAGGTTATTAGTTATGCTTGAGTTTATTCATATCCCATTCATGTATATATGTATAAATCTTAAATTTTATCATCATTTCCTATTTAATGATAATATTAATTAGTCAAGATAGTATTTAGATTAATTGTCAAAAAAACACTCACAATTTCAATTTTTATTTATCAGTAATCTCTTCATCAATATTGTCTTTGAACAGAAAAATTCTAGTATCTTCTTGTAACAAGTGATGATGTTTTTTTTCTAATTATTTATTTGTAATCAATAAAGTTATTTTTATTAATTATTGCAAATTGAAGCTGATCAATTACAACATCTATCATCAATTTTATATAAGTTACTCATTAAGATTTTGGAAAGAACTGAATATGAAGGACTTAAGAAAATGATTTTGATTGTCAAATTAATTTATGTAGTTTATAAATATAACCTAAAAAAATTATTGGAAAAAATATCACAAAAAATTTTACGAGTTGGCTAAATATATATTTAATCAATTATTGTTTGTATAGAGGTTTAAATTTTTTATTTTTTAAAAAAATATTCTTAATCAATTTTAATAAATATTTAATACACTTAGATGTATATTAATGTTATTTTAAAAAATTGAATAAAAAATAGTCATAAAGATCTCATTTTCAATAATCAATGTAATAATAAATATAAAAATAAAATGAAATATTTTATTATGATTTTTTGAAAAGAATCTGTGCTACCTAAAGTGCTTATGTGTCTACCCGCTGTTAAGTCTAAATTAATGTGGAGGTATAGATAGTCATCATCAATTGGCTAAAATTGTTTTGGAGTCTAACGATTCAACTTGCATATTGTACTCTCTCTTTTGTGTAGACAAAACCCAAACTAAATACATACTTGAAAAGACAACAAAAGCGCAAGCTGAAACCTTCATCCAAATATAGAAAGTAATTTAGAGGAAAAAGATTCCAGAGTCAAGTTCATCTCCGCTCACATTGATGATTGCGCTAAAGAAAAAATCGGATCAATTGGATTGCATCTTCGTCACGATATAAGAAAAAAATAGGTTTGTGAGGAAAATAGTATATTTATTTATTTATTGAAGGAAGTATTGTGAATCTTCAAGAGTGATATAGTTCTTGATTTAGATCATTGTGTTGGTCAAATTGATGATTGGATTGTAAACATTTTTTGAAGGAATATTTAACACTATGGTTTAGAGAGAAGTTTACTCAAAGATGGATATATAAACTTTCAAGATGAGAAATAACAACGATTGTTCTCTCCATAGATGCATTTACAAAAAATTTGTATGCACTTTGCACAATAGTCAAAAGAGTTAACCACTCTTCTTGCTACTCTAATGTGAATGTCCGTAGCATATTCTCTATAGTTTTATTGGCTCTTTTTGTTTTACTATCAGTCCGAGAACGATAAGCTCTTGACATTGCTAATTTGATTTAAAAAAAAATAAACAAAGTTTTTCAAAACAAACTAGTGAAATGAGTACCTCTATCAGTGATTAAGATTTTGCTTAATCAATGATTCACAAAAATAGAATCTAAGTATAATTGAGCAAGTTATGGTTCCCTCATTATTTTTGTGATTAATTTAATGTGAATTATCTTGCTCAATTTGTCTACAAAAATCACAACTACATCATTTTTGAACTAATTTTTTGGTAACTCACATACAATATCCATAGTGACATGTTCCCATCGCTGTTTGGAAATAGGAAGAGTCTGTAATAAACCAGGTTGTTTTTTATAACTTGCTTTGTTTTGTTGACAAACAACACAATTTCAAACGTAAACTTTCACATACTTCCTTGGTTTGGGCCAAAAGTAAACTCGTTTGATGTTCTCCAAGGTATTCTTGACTCCCACATGACCTGCAATGGTTGTATCATGATTTTCAGATAAAATCATTATGTGTAACTCTTGATCTTGCGGATTACATATTCATTGTTTGTACAGCGCCAAACCTATAACCTTCTCTACTCTTTCAACTTGTAATGAGTTCATGATCTCTTCATCCTCTTTTGTGTTATGTGTCATCTTGCTCCATCAAATCTGCTTGAATCTTCACTTGTACTACATGATTCAAACAAGGCATGCATGTGAGAGCATCCGCAAATTGCGTCTTGCCCTTCACGTACACAATCTTCATGTTGAAGCTTTGACGCCAAACTATAAATTTAATGGATAGAGATCCAATTTGTAATTTTGAGTGATCTTTTTGAGTTTCCAAATAAACCAAGGATATATGATCAATCTCAACCACAAACTCCATATCACCGAAGTAATGCTTTCAATGTTTAATTATCAACACAATGACTAACTCCTCCAATTCTGTCATGGAATAATTTTGTTCCGCCACCATCAACTTTCAAGAATGGAAACTAGATGTCATCAATCCTCCCATTCTTGTTGAAATATGTCACCTACTGTTATAACTAATGCGTCAGTAGTCAACTTGATTGGACGATTAGATACATACCACTTGAGACCAGGGGAGAGTGCGATCGTAGTGCATGTTAAAGTAACTATAAACATTTTGAGTGACCTCTACTTTAGTTTTCACGAACTAAAGATTGTTATAAAGTAAGATTGAAAAAAAGGCAGAATGTGATATAGAAGTATACAAAATGAATGATTTGAGAGGAGTAGACTACCCAATCAGACTAGATACAAGGATGCGTAAGATTGGAGCAAAACAAACATTGTAACTTGCAACTAGACAAGACTTTGAGAGGTCAAATAGAGAAGTGGGGAGAGTAGCTTCACGACAAGATTGCTTAGAGATGAAAAAATTGGTTAATTCATTAATTTGATGCTGGCTTCAATTAACGAGTTGTGCGCTGATGAAAAAAGTTTGTGTGCCTTGAAAAATTGATCTTATTCAGCCATACATGTAGTATTTTTTGCATGTTGGAAAATTTTTCAACCGGTTATGTAAAGTACAATGATGTTGGTTATATCTTAAGGTTGCGCATTATGATTCCAAATTGTCAAAAATGATCGACCTTTAATGCATTTTGTTGAGGGAAGAAATTGGATTGAAGTACAAAGCTACAACTTGTGTTCACAGTTGAAATTATCCTTCTAGTACGATAATAATAAGAGTTATTTTTCCAACTAGCATCATAACCAATTGACTCTGAATTGTGTTTTCAAATCCTCTATTGAATGCGTTTGACTCTTTCATGATTTTCCGGTTGCGTTCAAGATTTTCATCAGAATGCATTTTTTGTTTTTGTTAAACAAAAAAAATTCAAAAATATCAAGAAGTAGATTGTGGAGACTATTCTAACTAGCAAAAATTCATCCGAGAAAAACACAAATGAGAGCTAGTCCGTAGATCACAGATTGTCATATAGCAGATATCATGTCCACAATGATGAGCAGGTTCTTGATAATGCTCTATCTTTATTGGACAATTTGTCTCCTTGGTTTGATGTCTGACAAAACCTGCAATATGATTAAGCAACTTAATGACATTATTACTCGTCTCAACACAGCAATGCGTAACTATTATTCTCTAATTTGAAATGAGTGTGGACACATCATCTAAAGCTCTTTATGTATGACATGATGAACAATGCCATCAAAAACCAATTTTTTAAAATGATACT